AAAAAAAAAAAAAGCTGGGTATGGTGGCACATACTACAGCTACTTAAGAGGATGAAGGTCCAGATTAGCTCTGGTAAAAGAGACTCCGTGGGTGCTGGTGGCTTATGCCTATGATCCTAGCTACTTCAGGAGACTAAAATCTGAGGATTACAGTTCAAAGCTAGCTCAGGCAGGAAAATCCATGAGATTCTTTTTTTCTTTTTTTTTTTGCCAGTCCTGGGGCTTGAACTCAGGGTCTGGGCACTGTCCCTGAGCTTCTTTTGCTCAAGGTTAGCACTCTGCCACTTGAGCCACAGCGCCACTTCTGGCCTTTTCTGTTTATGTGGTGCTGAGGAATCGAACCCAGGGCTTCATGTATGCTAGGTAAGCACTCTACCACTAAGCCACATTCTCAGGTCCATGAGATTCTTATCTGCAATTAACCAGAAAAAACTGTAAGTGGAGTCATGGCTCAAGTGGTAAAAATGCTAGCCTTGAGCAAAAAAGCTAAGGGACAGCGCCCAGGCCCAGAGTTCATGCCACAGTAGCAGCACGAAAACAAAAACAAAACATGAGACTCTACCTGAAAAATAACTAAAGTAGAAAGGGCTGGTGGTATAGCTCAAATAGCAGAGTACCATTTAGCAAGTATGAGGCATTGAGTTAAAAAAAAAAACAAGGCTGGGAATGTGGCTTAGTGGTAGAGTGCTTGCCTAGCATGTAGGAAGCCCTAGGTTCAGTTCCTCAATACCACAAAAACAGAAAAAGCTGGAAGTGGCGCTGTGGCTCAAGTAGCAGAGTGCTAGCCTTGAGCAAAATAAGCTCAGGGACAGTGCCCAGGCCCTGACTTCAAGCCAGGACTGGCCAAAACAACAACAACAAAAAAAACTCAAACAAAATAAAATCCCTGCTAGAGATCACAGAAATGTAAATTAAGAAAATAAGACATTTATAAGTGATAAAAAGGTCAATGCTGGCAGATAGATCACACAACTATATTAGTGGAATAGAAATAAATCTAGTCAACACATACTTGTGAGACATTTACTAAGGGCCAAGTCATTTTGCCAATAGTGGGCAAAAAGAGATGGCCTGCTTTCTGGGTTTAAGTTAAACCCAGTGGCAGTAATCTGTTCAGAATGTACTTGGGTATGGAGGTAGCAGAATGTTTGTCTGACATGTATGAGGGTCTAGAGTTTAAACCCCAGCATCATTAAAGTGAGTTAGTGAGTAAATAAAGAAGATGAACTCTGCAGGACTAGGAACAAGCAGAGGCATTCTAGAAATTCTGAGTGCTGGACAGACTGAGTTGCTCCATTTTGTGTTGCTACATCTAATCAGAATGTCAAGCTCACCCTGAGTCCTCTGGCTGTCCCTTGGATGGTACTCAAAGGGAAGTGCCATTGATTCCAAGCATGTCTTGCTCTGTGGGAGCTTCCAGTGTGGACTCGGGAGTGAAGACATGAAAGGGGCTGGGAGATCAACGCTGTTTATAGCTTTTGCTTGTCTAGACACCCAATAAACTGTCTTCTTTTCTCAGCTGCTGGTGATAAAGTATGCTCCATTTATATATATTAGACAGATTACCAGGCCAAGACCATTGTTTTACATGGCACCTACCAGCCTACATGTGGTTGTTTACATTAAAATTGTGTACAAGCCTGGTATGATGGCACACACCTATAATCCCAGCACTTGGGAGGATGAGGCAAGGGAACCGTAGCCTCATTATTAGACCTTGTCTCAAAAAAAAAAACAAAAGTTTGCCTCTTTGACTGAAAGAGGCATATTTTAAGTGCTCCATACCATAGACATGAAGCATGGCAGAATGTTGTTGGAGAGGCTTGCTCTGTGCTATTGAGGCCAAGAACTCAGTCTCCCATGCGGCCCCGTGCCACTTACCTTATAAAGTTCTTCATCAAACTGGCTGAGCTGTGCCACCTCCTGCATGACCTCTTTTCTCATGAAAAAGGGAGTGTAAATGGGGGTGTAGCCCCGGCTTCCCAAAGTGCGGAGAGCATACTGGATGAGGGCCTGTTCCAGGAACACCAGGACCCCCTAGAGCAGAGACACAGCACTGGGTGATTGGGTCCTGTCACCCTTCTGTTCACCCCACAGAACACACATTCAGAGGTACCTAGGCAATGGGCAGGAGCATGCAGCAGGCCACTGAAGACTGTGGACTGCTACAACTCCTGGTGATGACCAGGAAGCCCATTCAGAGAATTCTCTTTAAGAGACCCAAGGAAGGCAAATGCATTATTCATCCAGGGCGCATGTGAGTTTTCCTGTGCTGAATCTGAAACTACTAGACTTATTTGTAAACATAGAACACACTTAAGTATATGGTGTTTCCAAAATTATTTTACCACAGCCTTCTGGAAGCCTTCCCTGAATTCATGTGCCTACTGTAATCTGTGTCTGTTGCCTCCACTTCCCGGATCTCAAAGCACTTGGGCATCCTCAGACCACAAGCTTATTACACTGGGTTTTGATTCTTTGTTACTTGTCTGACTGTCCAATTACACTGAGCTCCTCAAAGGCGAAGACTGTTCTGATTCAGTCAGCAAAGCGCATTCATTACAGAGGATCACTGAGTGCCTTTTGTTCTATGGAATCTGGATAAGCACTCTCTTGCCTTAGAAAGAGAATTGCATCTAATTGCTACACATTTGCAGACAAGCAGGCAGCACAAGTGGCAGATTTGTGGGCCTCTTTAAGTATGATTATGATTTTAGGCTTTTCTTTTTTAGCCCTTTCCTTACCCCCACTGGCTCCCAATTCTTACCTTCAGGAAGTACCCCCGACTACCAGCCACGATGGCCCCCTTTTCGCCTTCAAAGCCATCCACCATCACCACGAGGTCCACATGAGAGTACTTCTTCCTAACTGTACAATCGCCCCAAATCCTCTCTACTTTGTTATCTGCATCCTAAGGAAACAAGACCAGAAACAGAGAGGATTTCTTAATTCTACAACCTCCATCTTCCCCAAACCCCATCCATAAACAACAGACCTTTGTGAGGCCCTGGCTTAAATTGAGCAGCAGCTTCTAATAATCACTGTGTACAGAGATGAGGGAACTTGATCAACAGGAAAATAATCATTTATGAAGTCCTTGACACAATTCTAGCCAGGAAAACTAGAAATCATGATTTTTCTAAGAAATTAGTAGCCTTGGCTTTTTAAAAAAAATGTTTTAGCTGTTTTGTTTTGTTTTTTAACCTTTTCAAATGACTTCAAAAATCCTGTCTAAAGACAAGCCACCCAGACAATCAGCCATTGCCTGGGGTACAGAGGAGAATGTAGAAGATTTTTTTTTTCCAGGCTCCCATTGGTCTTAGGGCCACATGAGGGCGGGCTCAGGGCCACGACCCCCGAGTCGGCCTAGACTCTGAGGCCTCCCTCACACCCAGCCAGCAGTAAGTTTAATGTTCACGAGGGAATGAATGAAAAGAGGCACAGATGGGCCCAGCCACGGCTGGGGTGTCTGGGAACAAAGGCTGGGCTCAGAGCAGCTTTGTGCAGGGGAAGCTCCCGCTCAGCAGGAAACTTTTATCATGCAGATTTCCCTTCAACCTGCAGCTTCTCAGCTGGGTGTGGGTGAGGGAGGGGGGTTAGGTTGATTTAACAGATCCCTCCCACAGGACTCACTGCTACCAGGGGCAACACACAGTGGAGGACAGCAGCCCCATTTAGAAGCAATTTCTGTGCCAGGAGTCCCCTCCTACCTGCTGTCTCTGCTACTTCCCAATCAGGCAAGCATCTGACTCCTGCAATGCTCAATTGGTGGGCAGAGGGAACACACAAAGAGTTAGCTCTGACACTGAGAACCAGAGTCACACAGCTCTCCTCCGGCCCAGTCACCGCAAGCCTCAGCCCTGGCAGACAGCGAGGAAGAAAGCCTTTGCCCTGGTGGGGCACCTACGCTTACCTCATCATTACTGATGGGCACAGAAGGGTGCAGAAGGTTCCCGATCTCTCTGAGATTCTCAAAGCGTTCTGCCTCCAGCTTTATCCGCTCCGCATCACACTTCAGGATGGCTTCATCGATGAGAAGTCGGACTTTTTTGATTTGTGAGACTTTCAGGGTCTGCAGATAACCAGGCCAGACTCACACCCAGGCCATCATAATTGGGGTAGACAGCAGCAGCAAGCTGTAGTGCCCTAGCCCTGTCCTCTACTGACATAGCCACAAGGATGTGTACTATTTTCTTTTTCTAGTTTTTTCATAGGCCTAGGATTGAAGCAAGGGCCTCCAACATGCTACACGAGTTCTCTACTACTGAGTTACATCTTCAGCCTGGGAGTGTGGTATCTTACACCTATAATCTCAGCACATGGGAAGAGGCAGAACGATCGTCAAGGTCTACATAGAGAGGCCTTGTCTCAAAAAAGCAAACTAAAAATAAACAACGTTTAGTTCACAGGGATATGTACGATCTTGTCCTACAAGGCCATGATGTTTTCTCTAGGGGGGTATCTTGGGCAGAGATGAGTAGATTTTGGGGTGTTCTTGCTGTTGCTCTATATCCTGGGTTTGTTTGTTTTTTGAGACAAAGTCTCACTATGTAGCCCAAAGTCGCATCAAAAGAAACCTCACATCCCTCTTATATTAACCTTCTAAATCTTAGGATTATAAGCAGGCATCAACAGCCCCAGAATCCTAGAAGTTGTTCTTTTTTTTCTTTTTCTCATTCCAGGTTTGAACTCAGGGTCTTGCTTGACTTGATTGCTCAGGACTGGTGTTCTACTACCACTTAAACCACATCTCCAGTCGTTTTGTTTTGTTTTCTGGTTAACTGGATATGGAGTCTCATAGATTTTTTTTTTCTACCCAGGTAGGCTTCAAACTTCAATCCTCCACATCTCAGGCCCAGAGTATTAAGTATTATAAGCGTGAGCCACCTGTTTCTTAGGAGTTTAATACAGTGACTCTAGAGAACTTTTCCTTAATTTTCACTTTCAAATTTTTTTTAATAAACCAATTTAGTGCTTTATTATGTATACAAATTTAAAGTGCTATATTCCAGGAAGACTTTAATTTATCTTAACCTTATTGTAGATGTTTCCAACTATAACTGGATTTCTTGGAGAGCCCTGAGTAGGAGCTAGACAGGAATAGGCTAGCAATCCAATCCTTCAAGCACAAACACTTTTGCTTTCTTTGTTTATACTCTTGCTATATGTCAAGGATTAAAAAAAAAATGTTCAGTGACAAAAACACTAGAAACTTACTGCCCACTGTGGTGAATAATTTACTCAATTATAGTACACTGAGAAAGTGACAAAAAACAAACACAGTTTGGTTCTTTATTATTTTTTTTTGTTCCTTCCCCTCAACTTTTCTATTTCATCTATCTATGTGGAACAAGTACTCTACTATACAGTATAACAAGAGCCCATGTTGGAAATTCAAAGCTCCACTGTGCTATGTGAAACAACACCTGCCGTCTAGGGATGAAGTTAAAACAAAAGAACAAGAGCTCAGCTGAGCAAAGGATAGTAACTTACTGCTAATGTGTCTGCAGTGAGGTCATCAAAATTTAACACATTTTCTGGAACAGATCCATCCTCTCCCACTGGCTCTTTTTTCTGCGGGAAGAAAAAAGGAGAATCCAATTAAATAAAAGAAAATATCTGGCATTGTTTTGAAGTGGACGTCAGATTAATACATCACATAAACTGATCACAGAATGTCCTATATGAAGTTGAAACATGAAGGAAAAAGATTAGTAAATGGAAAGCCAGAAATTAAAGTTTCAACGCTTATTCTGCTACTTCTTAGATTTCTGATCCTGGATAAGTCAATTAATCTGTTAGGTTGAGAAGGGTAACATCATGCACATAAGAATGGCTTTTCCTAGACAAAGGTCAGTCATGGAAATCAAGAGAGAATGTATTTGAAATGGCCATGAACTCTAAATTTCTGGAGAAAGAGTATGGTTCGGGCCCTGAGGGTGAATCTGTCTACATACTGGGAACAATCCTGGCACTGAGATGAAGAGAAAAATGGATAGAATGACAGACTATGGAGAGTCAAGGAAAACAGAAGAGAGAATCCACAGCTAAGTACAATCAGTGCTGCATGACAGCCTCACAGGGGCACAGTCGGGGCTCCTTTTCCTCCCTCTGGTTTCTCATTTATTCTTTGTAGTAATATTTTGCAAACCATAATTTCTAATCCTTATACTAAGCAGGGCCATTTTAAGAAGACAATTTAAGGGCATGCGTGATATGGGGTGAAAGGTGGGGTGTGAACAGCCAGTTTAAGATGAGAGGCAAAAGCAAAAGATTAGAGTTCAAGTCCAGCACTGAGCTACATAATGAGTGCAAGGCCAACTGGACTACACAGGGGTCCTTATAACAAGGTTTATCATATCATGGCAAAACTCAAAAATAATTTGAGGAAATAGCACTATGGTTCAAGAAGTGGTAGAGTGCTAGTCTTGAGGAAAGCGCAGGGACAGCACTCAGACCCTGAGTTCAAGCCCCATGACTGACCAAAAAAAAAAAAAAGAAAAGAAAAGAAAGAAAGAAAGAAAGAAAGAAAGAAAGAAAGAAAGAAAGAAAGAAAGAAAGGAAGGAAGGAAGGAAGGAAGGAAGAAAGAAAAGATTTAGTGTCTGCTAAGCACATATACATAAAAGTATAGAAATCATGTTCAATTCAGGCACTGGTGCCTCATGCCTGCAATCCTAACTACTCAGGAAGATGAGATCTGAGCCTTAGGTTCAAAATCTGCCCAGGTAAACAAATTCAAGACTGTTATCTCCCATTAATTGGCAAAAAGCCTGAAGTGGTTGGTTCAAATGGTAGAATGCCAGTCTTAACCTATAAAGCTAAGCAAGGGCCTACGGCCCTGAATTCAAACCTCAATATTAGTGCACACACAAAAACAATTAACAAAAACACCCCAGCAACGAAGAACAAGAACAAGGGTTAGACCTTTAGCTCAGAGGTGCAGTGTTTGCCTAGTATGTGTGGGACTCTAGGGTTGATTCCAGGACCAAACAAAACAAAAACCAAAAAGACTCAGGAAGCTGAATTGTCTTGAATTGCGAGGGAGGGGGGCCAATGGGAGGGAGTGAACAAATGGAAAAAGGAATGGTTGACAAATAAGTCGTGACACTCCATGTACATATGTGAAAAAGTGGGAAACACTATGCCTGATGGGAGGTGGGAGAATAACAGAAGGAGTGATTTGAGTCAAATGCCTCGTGTGCATACATGGGTATGTTAAAATTGTAACCCCTTGTACAACTGCTTGAAGACTTAAAACAAATCACAAACCCACTGACTACTGTGGCAAAACAAAATGGCCAAAATCTCAAGGGTTTTTTTTAAATGATATGATAGGCAGGATGAGTCAATGGTAGCATCCACTTCACGTTCTGTATTTGAGGTCTGACTCTGCATTCAACTGAAGCTGTGATTTTAGGCAAGCTCCTTAATTTCCTAAACCCATTCCTTTTCTCTTTAGGGAAGACTGATAAATTAATATACTACCTCCTCTCCAGGTTTGCAGCAAAAGTCAAAACCAAAATGAGATGTAGATGTTTAGGAAAGTACTAGAACACTCCTCAGTGCTATACACTTAAAAGAACGAGGTCTGACAACCTATTGTTATCAAAACACCTAGCTTGCTGAGTGAGATAGCATGCACATGTAGTGCCAAACTCCCAGCCCTGAGGCAGGAGGGTCAGGAGTTCCAGGCTACACAGTAAGACTGTCTCAAGCACCACTACCACAAAAACAAACCCCCAGCTCCTATTGGTCTACATTTCCCAAAGGTGTCATGGGACCACTAACTGGCAGATGATTAAGCATCGTGAGGCCAACAGGAAGAAAACTACACATTCATTGAATCAAAATTTGTTTCCATAGCTAGAAAAATGTAGAGTTTCATTGAATAGAAGGTGGGCTTTGTGTTATAGTCTTCATTCGTTCTGGTTCCAAATTTTCCTTTTGCTTGTTTCATTTTGGGGTATATAGCTTAAAAATGATCGAGAATACTGAATTCAATTAATTAACTAGTTGATTAATTCACTAATTTAGTGGTACTGAAAACTGAACTTGGGGCCTCAACCTTGCTAGACAAGTGCTGTACTATCTGAGCCACACCCCTAGTGCGTTTCTTTTTGGACACAGGGTCTCACTACGTAGTTTAGGCTGGCCTTGAACTCTCAGTCTAGAAGGCTTGGTGCTGAGATCACAGTCAGGCCCATCTCGCTTAATATATTTTCTTATAAAGTGGCTAAAGGGGAAATGGATAAAGAATTCATTATGAGTCTGCTCAAGCTCTCAAGGCTGTTGCTTAGTTCTCTTACCTTCATTTTCTCTCCGATTGTCTTGCTGCATAAGTTCTTCAGTTTGTTCAAGTTGTCGGCTTGAAATCTGCCTAAGAATAAAGAAGGGAACACTATCCAAAGATGCACAGAATGCAGCTACTCCTCACCATGGCTCCTTAGTACCTGCTATTGTTTGGATAAGGGCTCTGAGAGGACCCCAGCCTAGAACTACTGGAAGGTGGTGGAACCTTTAAGAGGTGGGCCAGCTGGGAGGTCCTGGGTCACAAGGGTATGCTGTGGAGGGGATAGTGGAAATCCATCCCCTTCCCCTCCCACTTCTCTCTCTCTTTTTGTCCAGTCCTGGGTCTTGAACTCTGCCTAGGCACTATACCTGCACTTCTTTTATTCAAAGCTAGCACTCTACCACTTGAGCCACAACACCACTTCCAGCTTTTTTCTGTGATTAATCGGAGAGAAGAGTGTCACAGGTGTGAGCTACTGGCACCTGGCTTTCTTTTCTTTTTTTGTTTCCTTGTCACCAAGAGGTGTGCAGTTTCCTCTACCGTACACTCCGGCCATGATTCACTAGCTCACCAAGGTTCCAAAAGCAACAGCACCAACAAATATGAACTGACCCTCCAAACTGTGAGCCCAAAGCAAATCTTCCACAAAAGAAGCTGATCTCTGGGTTAACAGAAAGCTAACAGACTGGGTGCTGGTGGCTCGAGCCTATAATCCTAGCTACTCAAGAGGTTGACGTCTGAGGAAAATGGTTCAAAGGCAGCTCAGGCAGGTAAGTCCATGAGACTCTCATCTCTGATAAATTACTCAGAAAATGGTAGATGTGGTGCTATGGCTCAAGTATTGAGTGCTAGCCTAGGGCAAAAAGAAGATCAGGGACAGCACCTAGGCCTAGAGTTCAAAGCCTAGGACTGGCATGTGTTTGTGTGTTTGTGTGTGTGTGTGTGTGTGTGTGTGTGTGTGAGTGTATGAGCACACACACATGTATATACATTCACACTGCTGACTAACAAAATATTGATCTCAGCTTAAAGTCAAAATGGAGGCAGAACTGAAATCTGCCTCATAAAGTTGAGAAATCTTAAGGGTCTTTGAGTTAACTGACTGGTGACTACAGTAGGGGATCCCCAGTATTTGATGAAAAGAAAAAAAAACCTTTCTGAAGCTGAAATTGTAAAATGGCATACTGGGCTGGGAACATGGCTCAAGTGGGAGGCCCTGAGTTCAAATCATTGTAACACGCCTCCCTCAACCCCCCAAAAAAGTACAAGTATCAACCCATATACTGTGCAGTAACACAAATGAAAATACTCAGATACAATTCATGTAACTATAGCCTGGCCAATTATGTTAAAATTTACTCAAACTATGCTTATTATATACTAGAATCTAGAAAAAAGGCAATCAGAAGTGGGAAAGGGAAAGTGATAGCGGGGGTAAGATTGATTGGTATGTATTGTGAACATGTATAGAAATGTAACAATGAAATCCTCTCTGCATAACTAATGCACATTATTTTAAAAAGAACGAAAGAAAGAAAGAAGGCAACCACATTTCTACATCTCTAGGCTAGAAATGGTTAAGTTATTCCCTTTTCTGTGACAGAATGCTCATCTGGCAGCCTTCATGATAATTCCCTATAATATGGTTTCTTTGGGGGAAGAGGATACAGTAATCAGCTAGCATATTGGCCCAAATTAACCTATTATGGCTCATCAGTCTAATTCTGATTTGCAAAAGTTGGATCACTAGAGTCTAAGCATTTGGGGGGCAATATGGTAAAAATTAAGCTTTGGAGAGGTCAAATTGACAAAAGCTACACATAGTACTATCTGAGGTTTTGGAATAAGCTTATGTCTTTGATGTCTCTTTGAACTTTAGCACAAAATGATATACCTATTTTTTTTCATTCATTTATAAACAGAGACAAAATTTCAGAGATGGAAACCAAAATGAATGGTGATTTTCAGGGATAGAGGAGGATGGGAAAAGGGAATATTCGTAACTGGAAAGACATAGCAAGAAAGGGCCTGTAGCCTGGGTGGGCTGGTAGTGGTGATAAAATCCCATAGAAACATACGTGTCTGCACACACATGCACATATATGCAAGCATGTATGCATACACACATTAAAATATGAAAACTGAGTAAGGTTTGTGCATTGCGGTGGTGTAAATTTCTTGTTTTTAACACTGTACCATGCATGCAAGGCAAGCACTCTGCCACTGAGCCACCTTCCCAGCCCCCACTGTACCTGTTTTTGTGCCAGTACTAGGGTTTGAACTCGGAGCCTTGAGCTTTTTAGTTGGCTTTTTCCACTCAAGGTTGGTATTCTACCACTTGAGCCACACCTCCACTTCTGGACTTTTGCTAGCTAATTGGACCAAAAGTCTCATGTTCTTTTCTTTCTGGGTTGGCTTTGAACCACAACTCTCACATTTCAGTTTCTAGAATAGCTAGGATCACAGGCCTTAGCATTGGCACCCATCGTAAACATTCACTATTTCATCATCAAAGACGTTAGCTATGGATAGTTTTTAAAATAAATAACAATTACTAGATTAAGAAAGTTCTCTCTAGGGGCTGGGAAGGTGGCTCAGTGGTAGAGCGCTTGCCTTGCATGCCTGAGGCCCTGGGTTCGATTCCTCAGCACCACATAAGCAAAAAGAAAAAACCCAGAAGTGGTGATGTGGCTCAAGTGGTAGAGCGCTAGCCTTGAGCTGAAGAGCTGAGGGACAGTGCTCAGGCCCAGAGTTCAGGCCCCACGACCGGACACAAAAAAAAAAAAAGCAAGTTCCCTCTATTCCTACTTTGCTGTTCTTGAGTTATTGGCTGTCCATATGAGAAAAAAAAACAAAACACTCTTCTATTCCTAGCTTTTACAATGTGAGATGAATCACATAGCTAAATATGAAAGATAAAAGTAACAAAACTTGTAGAAAAAATAATCTAGAAAATATTTTTTGAAACTTGGGATGTAAAAAACAGAACATGAGAAGCACAAATGTCACTAAACTAGACCACTAAAGTTAAAAGCGTCTGTTCATCAAAATATGGCAAGACTGTATGTATTTAATGAAAGTGTTCTTGTATCCAGAATGTAGAAAAATTCCTATAAAACACTAAAAAAAAAAAAATCTATCTAGTAAAAAAGCTTTAACTGACACTTCTAAAAGCAGGTTACCCAAACTGCTATTAAGTTTTTTTTTTGTCCTAAAAGTGCAAAACAATCAGGTCTCAAGACCAAATGAACCTTGTGAAGAGGGCAGATGACAAAGCTTGTGGATGGACAAGGCTCAGAAAAAGATTACTATTGCAAAATAAGAAACACACCAGCATTTAAAAAATGCCCTTCAGGGGCTGGGAAGTTGGCTCAGTGGTAGAGCGCTTGCCATGCATGTATGAGGCCCTGGGTTCGATTCTTCAGCACCACATAAGCAAAAAGAAAAAAGCCGGAAGTGGCGCTGTGGCTCAAGTGGTAGAGCGCTAGCCTTGAGCTGAAGAGCTGAGGGACAGTGCCCAGGCCCAGAGTTCAGGCCCCACGACTGGACCCAAAAGAAAAAAACCAAAAAAAAAAAAAAAACCCAAAAAACAATGCCCTTCAAAGTAGTGTGATTTCCACTCTCACATCTGTCACTGGAGGAAAGAGAGGCCCTCTTCTGCCTTCTTTTCTAAGTTTGCAATAGAGAGATGAGTTATTCTGTTTCTTCTTGCAAAATAAGAGAAATGCAGGAAAATGGAAATTAAAGCCAAGTGTAACCATCAGACTAGCTAAGTTGAAAGAACTGGGAAGTACTGGGAAGAATACAGAATGAGTCAGATATTGCTGGTGGAGTTTCAGTCACTACAACCACTTTGGAAAAATGTTTGCCAATACCTAATAAATCTAAACATGTGCCAGCCTATATAACCCAGCCATTCCACTCCCAGGTACATGTTTATAGGAAATGAGTGCTGTGTCTATGGTTATAAATATGTTCTCCATGATCCAAGAACCTTTGGAGTCATGAAGATAGACAAGAAAATAAACAACTGTTTCAGCAAGGCAAAATTTACTTCTGCACAGAAGGCTGTACCATTAGCCAAAAATCTGGCAAGCAAGCACACAGAGCAGGCAGTCTGCTCTGATATTTATTCCTAATGCAGCAGGCCCCTCCCCTCTGCTCAGATTGGTTGAGCTCAGGTTCACAATCTGCTTGTGATTGGCTAGTTTGAATAGGGTAAAATGTACATAAATGTACATAAAATGAACACATATGATGATTTTGAAATGTTTAACAGTGCACAAGTAATATCAAAATATGCCTATACTCTCCGCTATTTCTTGAACAGTCTGGGACCTGTCTTATTTCCCTCTTGAAAAGAAACTAGTTTAAAACAAAACCTTACATTTCAAATATCTTTTTTTATCCCAAAGCAGTTCCTCTTTTCCTTAACAAGAGCCAAGCCACCAGGCCAAAGCAAGAACTTTTAAACAGTACACTTTGATACCCTACCCAAAGAACACATAACAGAACATATATAGGTTCTCAGCACAATAAATGACCATACTGAAGGTGATAGATGTTAATTGCCTTGATTTAATTTTTCCACACTGTATTAATAAATCATATTACTCTGTATCTCTTAAGTCTATACAGCCATAAGTTGCCAATTTACAATAAAATTTAACGAGTGTATATAACTAATTCATATTCCCTCGAAACTGGTAATAACTCACTCTGCTTCAATGGCATTTTGTGGACAATTATGCCAATCAATTCTACTGGCATATATGCACATTGGAATACTATGCAGCAGGGAAAAATAACCACCTACTGCTATACATGTCTGAGAGAGAAGACAAATTGCAGGAGGGATAGAGAGGTGAAAGGAGGCTCCTGGGGTGCTTACTGTGGATAATGGTTACTTGTGTCTATTAGTAAATTAGTCGTTATACTGTGTTGCATATATTCCATCTCAGAAAACAAAAGCTTTGAGAGAATATATAAAAAAGGATAAATGCTATGACAGAAATATGAGACAAAGTGCTACAGGAGCAGAGCTGGGTGGAGGGGGGAAAGTGTTAGGAATTAGCACCGGTCACAAGATGGTAAACAATTATCTGAGTCATATAAAATAGCTAGAATGAAGACTGGGAGATCATATGCTGTGAGCAGCAAAAGACTGGCTAGGAGCCATAGGAGACTGTAAATTACACTGAAGTTTTTGGAGCTTTATGCCCTTTGACTGCACTGTCCAATGAGGTCCTCTCTAGATACATGTGAATATTGAATGTATGAAATGTGGTCAGCCCAGAGAGGTGCTGTAAGTGCAAAACAACACACATTGGATTTAGGAGACTTGTACAAAACAAAATACTATAATGTACTTTGTTAAAAACAAAAATTTTGGATCTATTATGTTAAAATAAGTCTTCTTTTTCTTTTTTTTTCTTGGTGCAGTACTGGTTTTAGACTTGGGGCCTGGGCGCTGTGCCTTAGCTTTTTTGCTAAAGACTGGTGTTCCAGCACTTAAGCAATATTGTAATAAGCAACAGCTCCACTTCTGGCTTTTGGGTGGTTAACTGGCAATAAGACTTTCATGGACTTTCCTGCTCAGCATAGCTTCCAACCATGATCCTCAGATCTCAGCCTCTTGAGTAGCCAGGATTACAGCTGTGTACCACTGGTGCCCCACAACAGTCTTTTTTAGAGTAACTACAAGCAAATACACAACTACATGTTTGGCAGCCATCCCAGTCCATCAGTCCCAGGAAATTTAAGACTGCTACTCCTAAACTTTAAATTGCATTCCAGAGAGATTTCCTGCCTTGGACTAAGCCTAACTCAGAGAGAGTTTGAGAAACTGTGGAGTAAACAAAGATAAGGATTTGGCTTAAGGCATTTATAATAAAGGTCAACAGAAAACAGAACTTGAAAAAAAAAAAGAAAACAGAACTTGAAGTAAAGGTAAGAAATCTCATTCAGGATAGTTTTGGGTAGGGTAGAATTCCTGTGGCCGGCAGCAAATTCCAAGAATCACAGTACTCCTGCGGCTTGCAGAGTACAGCCAACACAAATATGCCCAAATGTGCCTTTGTTATGCTACTCTGAATAATAAAGAAAAAATTGCAGCTCAGTGAGTTGCAGTCATCACCTGTGTGGTGGGAGGTTGACTTGAAAGTTAGGGTAGCCTCCTGTGTTCTCAATGGAGCCCTAGTGGTACATAGTTTAAGTGAGCCCACAAGCCTTTATTACAGTGCCACACACTGGAATTGGGATGTACATATGAGTTAAATAAAAAATTACAAGGGGTCACTGCTGTGGACTATGTTCTTGTGCACCGTTCCAATAAACCAGACAAAAAAGGGACAGGTTTCGCAAATACCTTCATTTCAATCTACATGTCAATGACATTTCTTCTGCTTTAATCCTTAAAGAAAAAAAAAAAAAAGTAAATCGAAGCTGGGTGCCAATGGTTCACAGGAAGCTAAGATACAGACTTTCCAGCACAAGCAGGAAAGTCTATTTCTCCAATTAACCACCAAAAGCCAAAAAGAAGTAGAGGTGTGGTTCAAGAGGTAGAACAGTCTTGAGCAAAAAAAGTTAAGGGACAGCACCAGGCACTTAGTTCAAGCCCAAGTACATACACGTACACACACGTACATACACGTACACACACGTACATACACGTACACACGTACACACACACACACACAGGCAAACTGAAGTTTTCTGATGCTAACCTTCCAGATGTATTTCCTTTGTCTCCAGCTTATCGGGGAAGTATGACCATCCCCTTTTGTTCTTTCCTAAATTCTTCAACCCTTTTCTTTAAACGTCTGCTTTACCTGTCCTGTTTCCCCCCCACTTATTTATAGAATGCTGTGTTAATGGATCTAGAATTGAAAAATAAGGACTATTAAGATGTTTAAACGAGCAGGAATCCTGAATCAATGTAACCCTGGTGAAAATGTATGTATTCATACTCTGGTAACAATACAGAAAAGCCACCTGTGGAGGCAAGTTCAAGGCTAGCCTTGGTAACTTAGTAAAGACAAGATAAAATAAAAGGCCAGGCACTGGTGACTCACGCTTGAATTCTTGTCTACTCAGGAGCCTGAGATCTGCAGATTAAGGTTCAAAGCCAGCCTGGACAGGAAAGTTCAGGACACTCTTAACTCCAGTTAAGCAATAAAAAGCTGGAAGTAGAGCTACAAAGTGCTAGCCTTGGACAAAAAAGCTGAAGGGCAGTGTCCAGGCCCCAAATTTAAGCCCCAGTTCAGGCAAAGAAATAAATAAATAAACAATAAAATAAAATAGGACTGGGGACACTGTCCTGTGGTAAACACTTGCCTATTTTGTTTGAAGCCCTGAGTTCAAGCCCCATTAAAACACACACACACACGCACACGCACACACACACACACACACACACACACACAGCCTTTAAAGCCAAGTGTGAGAGTTTAGTCAGGTATGTGTATATAACTGCAGTTCCAGCTACTCAAGAGGCTGAAGCAAGAGGAGCATTCGAGACTTGAACTCATGAGCTCTAGGCCAGCCTGGAAAAACAGTGAAATCTCAATCTCAAAAAACAGGGCTGGGAAGGTAGCTCAGTGGTAGAGTGCATGCCTTGCAAGCATGAGGCCCTGGGTTCGATTCCTCAGGACCACATATACAGAAAAAGCCGGAAGTGGTGCTGTGGCTCTAGTGGTAGAGCGTTAGCCTTGAGCTGAAGAGCTGAGGGACCGTGCTCAGACCCAGAGTCCAGGCCCCATGGCCGGCAAAAAAACAAAACAAAACAAAATACAATTAAACAATAATCTTTTGGTTACTGTAAATTTGTTCTCTGACATCTGTATGTCCTACATGTATGTGTATAAAACTCAATCTTTGTCCCTAAAGAGCTCATCTGTGCCCATTTGTCAGAGACAGACATGTACATTACATACAAGAAAGCAGCAAAAAATTTAGTCATATATGTAGCTGCTGGCTAATGACCTGATTGATACAGAAATCTGACACTCCTGATAATACCTTAACTATATATATATAGAGAGAGAGAGAGAGAGAGAGATTTTGTTTTGTTTTGTTTGTAGGCAGGGTCTCCAGACTAGCTCAGGATGGCCTTGCGTTCAAGGCATCCTCCTACCTGAGCCTCTTGAGTGATTACAGGTTTATGCCATCATGTCTGGAGTATTTTTAGCCTAAATAAAACATATGGCAATTTCAATTCCATCACAATTCAAACCTTCAGATTCAAGGATGGAATCTTACAAACTACCACATTCGAGTGTCTCAAATTAACAGAATCAGCACACAACTCCAAGTAAACACTTTTATTTGGTACCCAAGACCTTACAATCTTAGTAAAATCAATTTTCTCAACAGAAATCCATCACACTTCTGTGTACCTAATGTCTCTGCCGTCCTATCATAAACCTGTTTCTCAACTCTATTCAAATTGTTTTAAGAAAGGGGAAAGGGTCAAAGGAGAAAGACAGAGAAGGTGAATTTGATAGAGATACATTCTGTGCACGTCTGGAAATCTCACAACGAACCCTCCTAAGGTATCTTAATTTTAAAAAAATCATTGGTGGGGGGGGGGGAGAACCTGGTTCTCAGTTGGTTACGGACCTATTGCATCAGACAAAACGAATCACATGTGTCTGACAACATCCGGCCCAGCAGGGAGCCCTCGGGCTAATCTAGGCCGCCTGAGAGGCTGAGGATTCCAGGGTTTGATTTAGCGTTCTGAAAGATGCTCCGATCAGCTTCAGGTTTTTGCCCAACTCTACCACAACTTCCACAGATCAAACCACCTCAGCAATCACAAGCTTTTCTTGTCGGCTCACAGTATCCCTCCCCTCGGTCGGTCTGATCTGCCACGGGAATGACTGACTCATAGGTCAGAAAATGGCCATCTCCAAAGCTCCGGGACTGCTGCTTTGGGCCAAGAGCATTCTCCAAAGTCCCCACATGCTTCCAAGACGGTGGAATAAACCTAATGTGCTAAGGACCTGACTCCGTCTGAGACGACCACTCCTGATCCTATCCCAACAGGGAGGCTAAGATGGCCTAGCAAAAGACGATCGGGATAAGTGATGAGACTGGAACTCCACTAAAAACTCTGGCCCCGGCGGCTCCCACCTGGGTAACTCCCGGGTGGAGGAAAAGCAGCAGGCCTGACAGCTGCCCCCAGCGCATGCGCCGTGCGCCTTCCCCGCCGACCGGCGGTGAGCACTGAGCACGCGCAGAAGAGGCTGTGCGCAGGCTGAGCTCAGGGCAAAGCCGGACGACTCCCGGCGCCAGGTGGTTAGGGAGACAGGCAAAGGCTGGGAGCCACCATAGCCCGAGAGAGAACATGGCAAAGCGTGGAAGCTGTGACCTCTGGAGCGGTGACTGGATTCGCGCGGCGAAGCCGAGGGATACCTCGCGCATCCTGGTACTTACATCGCCGCCACTCACTGTCTGCCTTCACCAGCTGGTCCACTAGTCTCGGGTCTTTGAAGCGCTTCTCCTGCGTCTCTCGAATGAGGGCCGGGTCCCCGCCTTTATCCACCCGAAACAAATCCAGATCTAGCACCATCTTCGTGTCTTCCGGACCGACACTCACAGAAACGAGGACAGGACCACAGCCGCCAGCCCGTGACTGACGTATTGCGCATGCACGCTGACCTGGCTCTCTGCGCAGGCGCAGTGGGGCCGTGGTGGGAGGGGCGTGGATAGGATAGGCGTGGTCTTCTGCTTGCTGTGGGGCTCCCAACTCTGCTCCAGTCTGTCAAGGATGCTGATCATCCCACGAAATTGTAGATGACTCCACTTTCTCCTGTCGAAGGGTTTATCCTAGCCTACGCTAAAGACTGTTCTCTCGTGATTTGATAGCCGGAGCCTTTCTCAGATGCCAGTTTTCTTTCCCCTTCTCCCCTTCTCTCTCCCGCCCTTTCACTAGTCTAACCATCCATCCATTTAGAAAGGGTCTGTGTAGTGCAGGCTGGCCTGGAACTGTAATCCTCCCGCCTCAGCCTACTGAGTGCTGGGATTACAAGCAACACACCACATGTAGCTTGTTATGGGAGTATAGCTACACATTTTGTTACTTCAGGGTTTCTGTTCTCTTCCTTCAAAGCTTAAATACCTTTCTTAATCTAGGTAAATCAGGTTGTCCTTTTACCAACCTTTAAAATAACAGGGTTGGGAAAGCCTAGCTTTCCAAAATATACAATAGTATCAGATTTGAAGGCAGTTACAGGTATTGGGGTCTTGAAATTTGAAATCCTCTTGAACAAAGACTATATCATATTTTGTATAACATTCTTATGTTTGTGAAAAAAATGCAGTAGGGCCAGGCACCGGTGGCTTATGCCTGTAATCGTAACTACTCAGGAGGCTGAGATCCAAGGGTAGCAGTTCAAAACCACCTTGGGCAGAAAAGTCCCCATGAGACTATTTCCCAATAAATACTCAAAAACTAGGAGTAGAACTGTGCCTCAAAGTGGTAGAATGCTAGCCTTGAACAAAAGAGTTCAGGGACAGGCCCGGGCCCTGAGTTCAAGCCCCAGGATCAAGAAAAAAAAAGCTATATATATATATATATATATGTATATATATAGATATATAATTATATATCTATATATAGCTGTGTGTGTGTGTGTGTGTGTGTGTGGTATTACTATATATGTAGCTAAGACTGGCCTTGAATTCGTGTTTAATACTTCGACTTTTAGGTATCTCACAGTATTTTTTTCTATTGAGTGTCTAGTGTAGACTTAAGTCTTCAATCTATCTTGAGTTTAACTTTGAAAGTAATATCAGGATGTAGAGGTATGGCTCAGATGGTAGACTGCCAGCCTTGAGTGAAAAAGTCAATAAGAACACAAGGCTCGGAAGTGGCGCTGTGGCTCAAGTGGTAGAGTACGCACCTTGAGCTGAAGAGCGCAGGGACAGTGCCCAAGCCCAGAGTTCAAGCCCCATGACTGACCAAAAAAAAAAAAAAAACCCACAAGGCTCTTGAGTTCAAGCTCCAGCACCAGCACACACACACACACACACACACACACACACAATAAAAATATTAGGTAAGGATTCAATTTTCTGATCAACAGATTGAGCCAGGGTTCCTCAAAACAAGATGTTTAGAGTTGTTTATAACCTATTGCTTAGAACCATATTTTGCCTATATATGTGTGTGTGTGTGTGTGTAATATATATACTATAGCATATATATTATTTTATGTATTACATAGCATATATGTACTAATATTTAATACATTATATAATATATATACTGTAGTATATATAATATATAGTATATAATGTGTATCTCTATATATGTTTCCAAGCTGGATGCTGGTGGCTCATGCCTGCAATTCTAGATACTTGGAAGGCTAAGAGCTCAAGACCCAGGTTTGAGGCCAGTTCTAGCAGGAAAATCCATAAGACTTTTATCATCAATTAACCAGAAAAACCTAGAAGTAGAGCTATGCCTCAAATGGCAGAGTTTCAGCCTTAGACAAAAAAGCTAAGGGACAGCACCCAGTCCCTGATTTCAAGCCCCAGTACCAGCAGAGTGTGTGTGTGTGTGTGTGTGTGTGTATCTTATATACTGACTCTAAGATGGTCAGCTTTACCAGTAAGAATATATGTACCAAGCCTGTAATCTCAGCTATTCAGGAAGTAGAGGTAAGAGGATCCTGAGCCTGGGTAAAGTTGAGGAAAGGCTATCTGAAAAAGCACCTAAAAAGGACTGGGGGGGGGGGCTGGGAAGGTGGCTCAGTGGTAGAGCGCTTGCCTTGCATGCATGAGGCCCTGGGTTCGATTCTTCAGCACCACACAAGCAAAAAAAAGAAAAAGAAAAAGCTGGAAGTGGCACTGTGACTCAAGTGGTAGAGCACTAGCCTTGAGCTGAAGAGCGGAGGGACAGCACCCAGGCCCAGAGTTCAGGCCCTCACGACTGGACCCCCCCCAAAAAAGGACTGGGAACATGACTTAAGTGATAGCATATTTGCCTAGCATAGTCTAAAGCCCTAGTATTGCAAAATTAATAAAGCAACTAACTATAAAAACCAATAAAAGGCCTGGCACTGGTGGCTCACGCCTGTAATCCTAGCTACTCAGGAGGCTGAGATCTGAGATCACGGTTCAAAGTCAACCTGGGCAGGAAACCCCATGAGAGCGCTCACCTTGAGCTGAAGAGCCCAGGGACAGCGCCCAAGCCCAGAGTTCAAGCCCCACGACCGACAAAAAATTAAAAAATTAAAATGTCCTGATGAGAGTTTAAATCCACTTGGATGTGTCATTTTTGTTATCCCTTTATACTCAGAATAGTCTTGGGTGTTACTTCTGAATATTCAGGGGTTTAAATACTCAACCAGGAAGTAGTAAGCCTACCTTCTCCTCTCCTTGTTTCCTTTTCCTTTTTCTCTACTCCTCCCTGTTTCTCCCTACTTTTCTTCTTCTTCACTTCTTTTTTCCCATGTCCCTCCCTCTCTGTTTCCCAAGTAGCTGGAATTACAGAGATGGTCAGCTTCACCAGTAAAAGAAATTCATTGATGTTCTAAAGTCTCTTTGAATATCTCCCAAATTGTCCACAAAGTTTTGTATTGCCACTGTACCAGTTTATCTGTTTATTTGTCATGTTTGTCTGTGGTTCACAATGAAATATCTTCTTTAAAGTGTAGAACAAATCCTCAGTAACTTCTCTGGCCACTACTTTGTCAATGACTGGGAAACATTTAAAATTATCCACTCAATGAAGCTGGGTACAGGTGGCTTGTTCCTGCAATCCTAGCTACTCAGGAGGCTGAGATCTAAGAATCATGACCTAGCCTGGGCAGAAAAGTCCCTGAGACTCTCATCTCCAATAAACCAAAAAAAAGAAAAGGGGGTGGGGGACCTGGTAGTGGAGCTATGGCTCAAGCTGTAGAGTGCTACCCTTGAACAAAACAGCTCAAGGACAGTGCCCAGCCTGAGTTCAAACCCCAGGACTGGCAAACACACACATGCACGTGCACACGCATACACACACACACAAAATTATTCTCACATTTACATCTCATACATTTCTCTTTTTTTGGGGGGGTCCAGTCGTGGGGCCTGGACTCTGGGGCTGGGTGTTGTCCCTCAGCTCTTCAGCTCAAGGCTAGCGCTCTACCACTTGAGCCACAGCGCCACTTCCGGCTTTTTTCTTTTTGCTTATGTGGTGCTGAGGAATCGAACCCAGGGCCTCATGCATGCAAGGCAAGCGCTCTACCACTGAGCCACCTTCCCAGCCCTCATACATTTAATTTCAAACTTGATGGTCTGTGGCTTATTGTATTTAGCACCCTGCACAGTATATGGTTAAATTTGTGAAAACTAGACAAGGGACATTGAGCTAGGTGTGGTAGTTCACATCTATAATCCCAGCACTTGGGAGTTTGAGGCAGGAAACTATGGAGCTCAAGATGATCCTAGGATATCTAGTGGGACTGTGTTGGAAGGGAAGGAGGTAGAAGGGAATATAAGGAGAGAGGAGAGAGGTAAAGAAGAAAAGAACAAAGGTCTCAGGCATCAGAAGAGTAGAGGGACTGGAGGGGAGGATGCTTGTTTCCAAGCTAAAATTTCCCCTAAACACCTTCATGTAGAGCTTGTGGTGCGTTGTATCACTCAGACTTAAAAGTCCACCAAGTCCTAAACTCACCTACTGGAGAGACTTCTTTTGGAGAGTCAAGTGCCCTCAACTAAAGTGAAGGAAAGTACTGAAGCAGGAAAAGCCAGTAACCCTGGGAAATTTTAACTCTAGGATTTTCTCCACATCCAGTCTGTAATAATATACTTCCTACCCCCAATTAGCTGAATCTACTTATATTTGTGGGTCTGTAATTACGTGTTTGGCCGTGTGCCATTTGAGGCCTGAACTGAGGGGAAATGGAACAAGCCTGGTGATTTATGTGTTAAACTTGTTTGCCACTCACCTGGTCTCGGTATCATTTGGTGAACTTTACTATTGTGAAAATGGAGGTTCTGATCATGGACGCCTCAGCACGTGGGAGGAAACTCCCTCCTAGCAAAGGTCTATGTTGCTCTTCTTGGCCCTTTTCGGTCTCTTCCTTCTAGTTAGGACTCAAAAACACCATTTTCTGTTTACCCAGCCAACCAGCCCATTTACATTCAAGAAAAACAACTCCAAATGTATGTTTTTATTTCACCAAAAATATGACATGCAATGCCCATCCCCTAACAAACTACAAATGCTTAAAATACAGAATAAAAAGGAAATCCAATTCGTCCTCACCAGACACAAATTTGATTTTACAAGTCTGGAAAAAAAATCTGTTATAAAGTGTCTTTTGTATAAATATAGTCAGTCTTATCTTTAAGGTAGAGTCAGAGGGAAAAAAAAGTTTTGTTGGCATAAGAAATCCCCTGGTCCATCAATACACCACAATCTTCATTTGTATTTTCAGTGAAATAAATACAGGTGACAGGTACAGGATAAGAGTTATTTGTATATTCTTTGACCCTAGGGAACCAATATAATTTAAACATTATTTCCTGAGTCTACATTCTCTCCTCAAATAGCTTTGTACAAACCACTGTAGCCCTAGGTCAAGGGCTAAATGCTTTCTCCCACAGTAGATCTAACTTATGTGTACAGGCTGGAGTTATGACTCGGTGGTAGGGCACCTATCTAGCATGTGAATGTTCCTGGGTTCTATTCCCAGTACTGAAAACAAAAATATATAATTCCATGAGCACACTAAAGTCCATAGAATAGTGTGTGTGTGTGTGTGTGTGTGTGTGTGTGTGTGTGTGTGTGTATTTGTCATTCATGGGGCTTGAACTCAGGGCCTGGACACTGTCCCTAAGCTCTTTTGCTCAAGGCTAGTGCTCTACCACTTTGAGCCACAGCTCCACTTGTGTTTTGTTTTGTTTTGTTTTTTGAGTGGTTAATGGGAGACAAGAGTCTCATGGGGACTTTTCTGCCTGGACCGGCTTTGAACCGCTATCCTCAGATCTTAGCCTCTTGAGTAGCTAGCATTACAGATGTGAGCTACTGGTGCCTGATGAGTTGTATTTTAAATAGGTGAATTGTTAGCTATGTGAATTATATCTCAATACGTGTTGACCTATATAATTCTAGCTTCTCACGAAGCTAAGATATGGAGGATTGTGGCTTGAGGTTATCCTAAGCAGAAAAGCCTATGAGACTCCATTTCTACAATAACTAGCTAGGCTGGAGGTGTGGCTTAATTGATACAGCACGTGCTAAGCAAGTCAAGCAAACAAGACCAAGAGGCCCTGAGTTCAAACCCTGGTAAAAATAAAACAAAGTAAAAATAATCTAAACAGGGTGCTAGTGGCTCACATCTGTAATCCTAGCTACTCAGTAAGCTGAGATCTGAGGATCCTGGTTCAAAGCCAGTCTGGGAAGACAAATGCATGAGACTTTATCATTAATTAGCCAGAAAAAGACCTTAAAGAGAGTTGTGGCTCAAGTGCTACAGCACTAATTTTTTTTTTTTTTTTTTTTGCCAGTCATGGGCGTGGAACTTAGGGCCTGGGCACTGTCCCTGAGCCTCTCTATGCTCAGGGCTAGAGCTCTACCACTTGAGCCACAGAACCACTTCCAGCCTTTTCTGTTTATGTGGTACTAAGGAATCAAAACCCAGGGCTTTGTGCATACTAAACAAGCACCACTAAACCACATCCCCAGCTGTCAGCACTAATCTTGAGTGATAAAAATCTAAAGGACATCACCCAGGCCTTGACTTCAGCTCCAGTACCCACACAATTTTTTTAAATTTAAAAAACAATCTGAGCTTGGGGCCAGTGGCTTACACTTGTAATTCTAGCTACTCAGGAAGCTGAGATCTGAGGATCATGTTTCAAAGCCAGCCCAGGCAGAAAGATCCATGAAACTCTTATCTCCAATAAACTACCCAGAAAAAGCCAGAAGTGGCACTGTGGCTCAAGAGATAGAGTGCTAGCCTTGAGCACAAAGTGCTCAAGGACAGTGCCCAGCCCTTGAGTTCAAGCTCCAGGACCAGCAAAAACCAACCAAACAACAACAACAAAACCCCCTAAAACCGAAGTGTCTAAGTTAACCATTTCCCTTCAAAACATCCTGGTAAAATGGTGATTGCCTCCTAGAAAGGAGAGCAGAGACTTGGGGTTGCTTGAGAGGTACTCAGTTTCAAAATGTCAGAATAAAGAAGTCAAAAGACTATACTTTTTCTTATTTTTTTTTCTAGAATAGTTTAAGAACCTTCTGTCACCTTCATTCCAAATGGCAGTTAATTACTCATCAGGAAGCAGAAGCTCAGGTGTTGCCAAGGCTGATGGAGCTCAGGAGTTACCTGTGAGCAGCTATCTGGAGACATACCACTAAGGCTACAAGCTCATAGAGCCACAAAAAAGAAAGTACTGGAGCCTGAACTCAGGCCTTAGGCTCTGTTCCCTAGCTTTTTTTTTTCTTTCTTAAAGCTAGCCCTCTACCACTTGATCCAAAGCTTCACTTCTGGAAGTGAAGTAAGAGACTCACAAACTTTCTTGTCTTAGATGGCTTCAAACCATCAGATCTCAGCCTCCTGAGTAGCTTGGATTATAGGCCTGAGCCAGTGGTGCCTCGCCAGGAGAGAGAACTTGTCTACTAGAAACACTTGAAACCTAGAAATGCTTCTAGCCAATGGACTGCCTGCCACCACTGATGCTCCTAATGGCCAGGAGTCCTGGCATAGCTCCACTTCTCAATGGCTTCTAAGACCATTGCCAAGGTGTCCCTGGGCAATCAGATGAGCAAGCCAACTGTGGCAGACAAATCACTTGGAAATACCTTTCCATTCTATACTAACCATCTGGTTACCCAAATGGTCACAGAGAAGGGACACAGGCACAAGCCACAGGCAACTGGGGCTTGACCAAGAGGTAGTCATGCTAGCCTGATAGTGATGGAGAATTGCCAAGAGTAGAAAGAAAAAGTGACTGAAAGTCTTGCTCTCATTTTTATCATCCTGGGTACTTCATGCCCATCAATTACAATTGGAATAAAAGTAAGAAAGGGATAGGGAGAATTACCCATCCTACTCACCTTTCATACCTGAGGTTGCCAGAAATGAGTCAGTAATCTTTTTCTGGTTTTGTGCCTGTTTGGGGGCTTGAATTTAAGGCCAGAACATCCTCCTTAAGCTTTTGCTCAAGGCTAGCACTCTCCTACCACAGCTCCACTTCTGCATTTTTTTTTGTAGACATAAGAGTCTCACAGACTTTCTGCCCAGGCTGTCTTCAAACCATGATCCTCTCCTGAGGAGCTGGGATTACAGGTGTGAGTCACCAGCATCTCATTTTTTGTTTTAGTGCACAAAGGAAATGAGAAAAGGAAAAAGAGAAGGACAAGGACTTGGAAGCCAGAAGCATCCCAGTTTGGTGAGAATCTTGTTAAACATCACTAGAATCCCTCCTTGAAGACTAGTCTGGTTCTCCCATCAAGCTATGAGTCTGGGGCCCAACTCTTTTTTTTCTTTTTGCCCACACTGGGGCTTGAACTTAGGTTCTCATACTCTAGTTTAGTTTTGTTGTTGTTCAAGGCTGACACTCGAGCCATACCTCCATTTCTGGCTTTTTGCTCATGAACTGAAGATACAAGTCTTTTGGCTTTGTTTGCCTGGGTAGCTTTCACCTGTGATCGTCAGATCTCAGCCTCTTGAATAGCTAGGATTACAGGCGTGAGCCACCTATACTTGGCTCACTTCCTTTCTAGCTAGCCTAGAAGTTGGTAATTCTGTGACTAAATCCAGAAACAGCTATCAGGATCACTCAGTGCCATGTCATTGTGGACTGGGTATTCCAATACTGGCCAGCTGTAACGTTGGCCTACTGTGTTCTTTCTGTAATAGAACTGGGACTAGAGGACGGGGTTGCTCAAACACAGGAGTTTCCTCACAGGCAGGGTTTTGCCAAGTAAAGGCTGAGTGAGGATAAGGGTTAGAACATTTGGCTTGGTTCCCTTCAGTGTCATAGAGAGATAGGAGGTTTTTGTTTGTTTGTTTGTTCATAATGCCAGTACTAGAGCTTGAACTTGGGGCCTCTTCACTGAAGGCATCTTCACTCAAGGCTAGAGCTCTACCATTTGCACCATACCCTTCCATTTCTTTTTCCTCGTGCCACACCCTCCACTTCCAGTAATAAGAGTTTCATAGACTTTCCCACTCAGGCTGACTTTGAACCTTGACCTTTAGAGCTCAGCCTCCTCACGAGCTGGGATTATAGATGCTAGCCACCAGTGCCTGGGCTTGGAAAGTTTTAGAAAAATAGTGAGATCGGCCAGGGGGGTTGGATATTTTTGTTGTTGCAGTGTTGTTGTTTTTTTTTTCCAGTGCTGGGGATGGAATCGAGGGCTTTGTGCATGCAGGGCAACTGTCCTACCACTGAGCTACATCTCCAGAACTGGGCATTTTCTTCATATTTTCATTTGGCTTAAATGAGAATATTTATTGCTTACTTAAGAGAAGGAAATTAGATACCTGGTTATAAAATAAGACAAACAAACAAACAAAAATCCCCTCCTTTCTTGCCTTTTTGCTTACAAAGCCCATCTTACTCAAGCCTTGCCCATTCCTGTCCTCAGACTCACAATTGCCCTCAGGTTGAACTGATTATCCAGAAGAAATGAATCCCAGCTACCATGAAGACTATCTATCAGAAACCCCATCATCTCCTCACCCAGCCTGACTCTTAAAGAGATCATGAACTGAGGGCATATAACCAGAAAAACTCTAGCAGTTTCTGCCCTTAAGTAAGAAAAAAGAAGAAATCATTTTTTTCTCTCTCTCTTCCTTCCTCCCTTCTTCCCTCCCTTCCTCCTTCCCTCCTTTCCTTCCTTCCTTCCTTTCTTCCTATCTTCTTTCTTTGTGCTGATACTCAGCCTTCAACTCAGGACCTATGCACTGTCCCTTAGCTTCTTTGCTCAAGGTTAGTGCTCTACCTCTTGAGCCATAGGTCCTTTTCCAGCTCTTTGATGGTTAGTTGGAGATGAGAGTCTCACAAACTTTTCTGCCCAGGCTGACTTTGAACCTCGACCTTTAGATCAGTCTCCTGAGTAGCTAGGATTACAGGTATGAGCCACTGGCTAAGAAATAATTTCTTTATTTAAAAAGACATATTTTTAAACTCCAGAACCATAACAATTATGGGTAGTCTGGGCTCATCTGTAATCTCAGCACTTGGGAGGTAGAAGGTGGAGGATAACAAGTTGGAGGCCAACCTGGGCTACATAGAGAAACTTGATCTAAAACCAAATAAACAGATTTTTAAAAACCCATAAACTAAACTAAACCAAATGCGCAAGTGAGGCTGTGGCTTTGGCAGCTGGACCAGTTAGGAAACAAAATGCAAGCAAGGGAATCATATACAAACAAAGTGTGGGTATATTTGGCAGATTTGAGGCAAGCAGAAAAGGTTTGGGGACTCTCTCTATATATGTATATAAAAAAACAAGATCTGAACTTCAAACATCTTCTGATAAGGCCACAATGAAGAGATTTCCAGCAGCGGGTATTGTGAGATGCTGGCACCCAAGTCGTCACAGGCTTGCCAGGGAATGTGCCAAGGCGAGGCGGCTGGAGCGCCTCTCACAGGTCCATGTCTGGGCCTCCTGAAGATGTCTTCAGTGGCACTGAATCAAATCCATCAGGAGTCCTCTGAAAGAGAGATGGGGACAGGAACTGGCTGCTGTGCAGGGACAAGTTTAGGGGGACAAAGAAGAGAAACGGATAACAGGTGACAGAAGGAACCCTTAAAGAACTTTCAGTGGTTTTGTGGAAATATTGAAATGAGATAGCTCCTTTCAAGCGCAGAGAATAAGAAAAATCATTCACAAAACAAAACCCTGTTGGAGCACCTGTAATCCTAGCTTCTCAGGAGGCTGAGGTCTGAATTGAGATCTGGTTTGAAGAGATCTGGGCAGAAAAGTCTTTGAGACTCTTAATCTCTAACCACCAAAAAGCTGGAAATGGAGCCGTGGCTCAAGTGGTACAGTGTTAAACTTGAACAATAAAGCTCAAGGACAGCTCCTAGGCGCTGAGTTCAAACTCAGGCACAAAACCAAATCAAACTGCTCTGTGTGTGTGTGTGTATTTCCCTCCTGCCTCCTCTTTTGTCTCCCCACCCTCACCTTCCCCAGTCCCCAGTACTGGGGATTGAACTCAGAGCCTGGGCCCTGCCCACCTACTCTACCAAGTCACAGCTCCACATCTGCACTCTGCTGGTGAAATGAAGATAAGAGTCTCACAGACATTTCTGCCTGGGCTGGCCTCGAACCTCAATCCTCACATCTCAGCCTCCTAAGTAGCATTACAGCCACAGGTGCCTGGCAGCCTGCTTTGCATCTTTGCTGGGTTCTAGAAGACCTAGGTAGACTGAGGAAGTTCCCCAAGCAAACTCTTCTTCCAAGGATGAAGAACATAAATAAAGATCTAAGGAGGCCAAGGGAGTCAACCTGGCAACACGGTCAGCACAAAGGGAACAGATTCAGTCATCAGAACACCTAGCTACCATTCTTTCTTCACTCACCCTTCTGTCTGCTCCTCCCTCTCTCCATGCTCCCCACCCACACCTGTTTGGATGATTGGCTCCCAGCAGTAGTCAGGTGTGCGTTCTTGGCTGCAGCAGCCCTCCAGGCCTCTCTGCTGGCCCCGTGCCCAGAGACAGTGGTGTCTGTGTTGTATTTATGGGCTTCATACTCAACTCACCCACCCACTTGGAGCCAACCCTCCCAGCTCTGAAATGCTCAGTGGTGAGCAGTTTAGACTACCCTATGACTCATCTTCTTGGGTCTGGGTCCAGACACCAAGGAGACAGCGCCCTCCACTGGTCAAAGGAGAGCCTTAGCCCATCACATGTTCCTAGAGACCATCTTTTGTCCATCATCCAACCCCCCCCCCCCAAAAGAAAAGAACTGAAGAAGGGTTGAGGGGGAATGATTCTTACAATCATGGATGGTTCAACACTTTGGAAGTTAAAAAGGTTCAAACAATTCACCAACTCGAGTGCATGCTGGGAGAGGAGCTGGGTCAAGAGTAGACTAGGACCCCAGGAGAAAGGACTGGGGTGAACACGAGAAGGTAGAAGGCAGGATTTCCAGGTGGGGGACAGAATAGTGTGAGGAGTTAAAGGCAGCATAATTACAGGTCTGCAAGTGCCTAGGAGTGGTGTCTTGTCCAGCCCTCCGGGGCTGACCTCAATGCTCTGGCTATCTACCTTGGAGGTGAATGATTTGATCTTCCCAAAGAGTGACTTCTTGCTGGTAAAGATGAGGTCGTCTTCTGCATCCTCGCCCTCCATGATGGCGCAGCTGTCAGCTGCTGGCAGGTCACAGTCCTTGAGGGTCGTGTTCATCACCAGTTTGGAGTACTTGTATTCTAGTCTGTGGAATGAGAGGATGCGAAAGACATGACACCAGAATATAGGAGCAAGAAGGAAAGGCAGAGAGAGGTTGAACTCTAAGCAGATATTCTCATGTCTTGGGAAAGGAATCTGAAGGACAGAAAAATACCTGGTTCATAGCTGGAGTAAGAGAAGAGCTCTTGGCTCCAAGTTTAAGTGATCGCTTTTCTTTAAGATAGGCTGTTTCATGCTGGGCACCCATGGCTCACGTGTGTAATCCTAGCTATTCAGAAGGCCGAGATCTGAGATTGTAGTCTGAAGCCAGCCCAGGCAAGAAAGTCCATGAGACTCTTATCTCCCATTAAGCACCAAAAAGCTGGAAGTGAAAGTGTGGCTCAAGGGCTGTCCCTGAGCAGCACCCAGTCCCTGAGTTCAAGCCCCAGGACTGGTACACACACAGATTGGCTGTTTCTATGATTGTAAAGCTCAATAGATATATTATAATGACACATTATTTGTTCAGTATATAACATGGGAAAGGATATTCTGTTTTTGTTACAGGGAAGATCTTTGAATACAGGGTCTTTTCCAAGCTAGGCAAGTGTTCTTCTGCTGAACAAATATCTCCAGCTCAAGGACATACTTCATGTGTGTGTGTGTGTGTGTGTGTGTGTGTTGATTCCAGGGCTTGAACTCAGGGCCTGAGCACCCACTGTCCATGAGATTTTTTTGCTCAAGACTAGCATTCTACCACTGAGCCACAATTCGGTTTCTGGCATTTTTGGTGGTTAATTGAAGAATCTCACAGGCTTTCTTGCCCAGACTGGTTTTGAACCACAATCCTCAGATTTCAGCATCCTGAGTAGCGAGGATGACAGACATGAGCCAATGACACCGGCCATTCTTGGCTTTTCTCTTGAGAATCAAGTAGCCATTTATAGACGGCCACATTGTACCATCCCTGTTCAGGAGTCAGCATAACCAAGGTGTATCCCAGGGAATTGACTTTACAAGTGTTTGTCTGCATTTATAGGCTCTGGGATCAACTCTAGATCAAATGCCCACTAACCGATACACTAAGATGATTTCCCTGCTCAGTGCCCCAACCCTGCCCATCTTCAAACTCCAGCATCCCAGCATGTACTTTTGATTCTTTTTCCAAAAGTAGCAGGTCAACACGGTGAGCAGGATGGCAGTACAGGTGCCTGCGGAGATGCCCACTTTCAGCCAGAAATCTATTGTTTTACAGATGGTGACCCTCTGCTCTGGCAAGGAGATACCACCAGCACATATCTTTGGTTCTCTCCACACATACGTCGTCTTCTGTCAGGGAGAAAAACAAGGATCTCAGACCTCCTGTTCCCTTCTCTCCTCCGATGTCCCCGATCAGAGGGCAGCCTACCTGGATCCCAGCCACACAGCTGCTAAGGAAGGTATGGTAGTCGGCGGTTGAGCAGAGCGGACAAGCAGCCACACTCTCCCATAGGAAGTGGAAGTTACAGCCATCACAGGTCCCATCTGAGCACGTGCTAGCAAAGCAGAAAGGAGATCTGAGCTGACTCGCATTCACTCGACTGGTGAGGAAGAGCTGGTGGATTCAGCCCTTGCCTTGTTCATCTTCTCTCACCACCTGGGTCCTACCAACTACAGGTGAGGCCTTTCAACCTCCACTGGGCTCCCCATTTTCTGCCTATGTTCTGCTGATGACAGGTTGCAGCTAACATGAAGTGCCTGAGCCCCTCAGAGGGCCTTCCCATGGGGATGTGACTTTTTATTTTTTTTTTGGTGCTGGTACTGGGTTTTGAACTCAGGTCCTGCGTGCTGTCCCTGAGTTTTTTTGTTCAAGGCTAACACTCTACCAGCTGAGTTACAGATTCACTTTCAGCTTTTTGGTGGTTCATTGAAGATAAGAATCTCACAGACTTTCCTGACTGGGCTTGTTTTGAACTGCAATCCTCAGAACTCATGGATATGTGACTTTATTTTTATTTTTACCAGTTCTGGGGCTTGAACTCAGGGTCCCTGAGTTTTTTGGTTTTTTTGTCAAGGCTAACACTCTACCCCTTTGAGCCACAGCTTTACTTCTAGTTTTTAGATAGTTAATTGGAGATGAGAGTCTCATGGACTTTCCTGCCTGAGCTGGTTTTGAATCATGATTCTCAGATCTCAGCCTCCCTGAGTAGCTAGGATTACAGGTATGAGTCAGCAGTGCCTGGTTGATATGTGACATTTTATTTTATTTTTTTTGGGGGGGTCCGGTTCTGGGGCCTGAACTCTGGGCCTGGGTGCTGTCCCTCAGCTCTTCAGCTCAAGGCTAGCACACTACCACTTGAGCCATAGCACCACTTCCGGCTTTTTTTTCCTGCTTATGTGGTGCTGAGGAATCGAACTTATGGCCTCATGCATGCAAGGCAAGCGCTTTACCACTGAGCTACCTTCTCAGCCCTGATACGTGACATTTTAAATAGCTACTTTTATTATTTTATGTTGATGCTGGGGTTTGAACTTAGGCCCTGGGTGTACTACTCCTTAGCTTTTTCACTTAAAGTAGCTCTACCATTTGAGCCACAGTTCCACTTCTGGGTTTTTGGTGGTTCATTGGAGATCAGAGTGTCACACACTTTCTTGCCTGGACTAGCTTTGACTTCCAGTTCTTAGATTTCAGCCTCCTAAGCAGCTAAGATTACAGGCATGAACTACCATTGCCTGGCTACAATAGTCACTTCAATATAGCGTCCTTGGTAAGGACTGGGGGTAAGAGAGCATTCAGGTATGGATATATGCTTTGTACTTTCATGTTTCCAACAGCAAGGACAATAATTTTATACTCCAACGCTATGGCTGGGTCAAGACCCCCGGCCTATTTTTTTGGAGACAGGGTCTCATTATGTAGCTCAGGCTGTCTTCAAACTTGAGATTCTCCTTCTTTGGTCTCCCAAGTGCTAAAATTATAGGAATGCGGCAGAGGCCTGGCTAATCAAGATGTCCTGCTTTACTTCGCAGATCCCCAATCAATGGTTTCAGAGAAAAAATTTCTAAACTGTGCTCCTTAAGCAATAAGTGCTCATCAAGATATTACTTGATGTTATGTGAAGAGAAAGGAAGAGAGTAGTGTCCTGGGGCTGGAACTCAGGGCCTTATTCTCTAACTTGGTCTTTTCTGCTCAAGACTGGTGCTCTACCTCTTGAGCCACATCTTTTTGCAAGTTAATTGGAGTCTCCTGAATTTGTCTGTTGAGGATGGCTTCAAACCATGATTCTCAGATCTCAACCTCATAAGTAGCTAGGATTCCACATGTTAGCCACTGGCTTCTGGCTCAGATTGGATCTTCTGGTTGCAGAGAGATTCTTAGGATCATAACTTGTTCCTAATTTTTTTTTTTTTGGTACTGAGGATTAAACCCAGGACATAGGCAACCGCTTTTTTTTTTTTTTTTTGGGTCTGGTCGTGGGGCCTGAACTCCAGGCCTGGGAGCTGTTCCTCAGCTCTTCAGCTCAAGGCTAGCACTCTACCACTTGAGCCACAGCACCACTTCTGGCTTTTTTCTTTCTGCTTATGTGGTGCTGAGGAATTGAACCCAGGGCATGCAAGGCAAGCACTCTACCACTGAGCCACCTTCCCAGCCCCAACTTGTTCCTAATATTAATAATGGCAAGACTTCAAGAGAAGTCCTAAAGTCTCATTGTTTCATTGAATCTTCAAAACAATTGCCTACAGGGACTTAATATGCTCGTTTTATATATAAGAAATAGGAGGCCTGGAAAAGATAAGAAATGTAATAACCTCACGAAGTAATAATGTGGCTCTCACAGATAGCCGTTAGTCACTATGCTACGCAGCTGTCACCATAACGGCCAGGGGCCAGGAGGTAACAGAAACTCTTCCTCCTGCCCCATTCTTGCCTTTTGATGATTGAGGGGTTGGGACCATGTCTGCAACCCTAGACATGGGGTTTTCTCTTCTGCTCTGTCTCAGCAATCCCTGCCTGTTGAGATGGAGTGAATTCAAGGAAGGGAGATGGTGGCATTTGTCATGCTTCCTTGTAGGGATTACCTTGGTAGTGACAGAGTTCCAGGGACAGTTTTCAGTGGATTGCATCTGACTCGGATGGTGGATGATCTTCCAGAACTGCAGGACTGGGTCACATCATTGGACCTGCAGACAAAGCCAGTTCCCCATGGGGAAGGGAGCTACTCTACCATGTTAGTGGAGCACCATTAAATGACATCAAGATGGGATGATTCCTTCATCAGGCAAGTTTGGACTTGGCCTCCAGCCTAACACATAGGGAGCCCATAGAGCTTGGTCAATAGACCTAGTCAAAGGAGAAATACACTGGCCTAGAGAAGATAAGGCTAGTATATACTGGAGCCTAGGCTAGATGGGATTATCTCCTGCAGATTTTGCTGGTATTTCTCTCTGCCTTCAGGGAAGAACTGTTCCAATAATACCCAAGAAGCCAGGATGAAGGAACAACCAGCATGTATTCTCATAACTGGGTAGATCTGCTAGACCTCACATGTCTGGCTTGGTCAGGTAGGTTGGTGGCTGGAGAGGGAGGGGATTCAAAAGAAATTGGGCAAAAGCATTAGTCAACTAGCCTCTCCCCACCTGAAAAAGAAGATCACATCTGGTATTCCTGAGGTCTCTGGGTGGAAAAGTTCAGCTGGGGAGGTGATTCCGTCCACAGTCAAGTCTGTTGACACACCTGCCAAATTAAGCATTCCTAATTAGTTCTCACTGGTAGCATTAGCTGGAAGCCACTTGGATGCTTTCAATACCTATAAACATTCAGCTGACTTCATCTTTTTTTTTCCAAATTCTTTATTGTGATTAAGTGATTACATGATTTCCCAAATTTCACAGTATTGTGGGATAGTGATGCTTAAAGTTAAAGTCACACACACATTCTAACTTTCATGGGGCAAATTGTCTATCATGTCTATAACATTTATGAGTTCTATGAGCTTTGCGATACAGTTATTTCTTCCACATGGGGTGATATGTACATTTCTTTTGTTTTGCATTAGAACCAGCTGTTCCCTCTTTCCCACTTGTTCCCTCCCTCCCATCGCTGCCATTGAGTTGCTTAGTTCATTTTGATCAATGTCCAGTGCAGCTGATGGGTCTCGCTGTTGTATGTTTTTCCCCGATTTCCTCTAGTTCTGTGTCATCGTCCTGGTTTCCCTCCGGTGTGCACATATATACCATACATGTGATCAGCAGTATGGGGTTATTTAGTAATGATTCAACCAGATGAGTGGAAGTCCTTTGTTTCTTAAGTCTTGTTAATTTTGTCATATCACCTTACATTTTGAATTTAACATCCACTTATCAGGGAGACCATGCGCTGTTTGTCTCTTTGCTCTTGGCTTACCTTGCTCAACATGATTTCTTCTATCTCTATCCATTTCCCTGCCGGACTTCACCTTATCACAACCCCCAAGTGGCTCATGAAAACAACTGTCTTTTTGGTCCAAGACTGTGACTTGAACTCACTATCTGATGCTTTTGGCTCATTGGCTAGCACTCTACCTCCAACCTCCTTCCCCACTTAAAAAAAAAAAAAAAAACCAAACACTTGAGCCAAAAGCTTTGGCTCATATACCAAAGCTTTATCAGAGCTCCCAGGGACACTTAGCAGACAAAGGTCAGGATGCTAGGCCCCTCCCATGGGACTATGTATATCTCACACACACACAACCTCACATGCCTGGTTACTCACCAACAAGTCGATCAGCAAGGCTGACGGGCTGTGAGGACACCCCCGCTTTGTAACCTGTCACCTCTGGGGGGATGATGACTGCCTGGCAGATGTAGGCCGTGATAGACTTAGAAAAACCTGACTCGCCCTCAGGGACCCGGAGGTCAGTGACATTGTCAGTGCACACAGACATTTTCTTCCCCTGGGGGGGTGGATGTAGACAAATGGCAATGGTTACAGAGAAATTCTCAAAAGGACTAGGGAGTGTTTTTTGAGTCCCCCTCCTCATCCCCATCTGAAAGTTCACACTTTCAATGCTATGTTGCAGTAGAATGATTCATCACAGGTCTATGGTAAAACAGACTTTAAAAAAGGAAGTAGGGAGGTTAAGGTGTGGTGGCTCATACCTATAATCCTAGCTGCTCAGAGGCTGAGATCTAAGGATGGTTATTCATAGTCAGTCTGGGCAGAAAAGTCCATAAGACTCTTAGTTCCAATTAAGCAGCAAAAAAAAAAGCTGGAAGTGGAACTGTGGCTCAAGTGGTAGAATGCTAGCTTGGAGCAAAAAAGCCTAGGCCCTGAGTTCAAGGCTCACAGGGCACACACACACACACACACACACACACACACACACACAGAAAATAATGTCAATATGTCCTAGTTTTGGGGACTCTGGCCCAGAGGTCTCCAGCATTTTCTTTCCTTTTCTTTTTTCCCCTCTTTCTTTTCTTCCTTTCTTTCTTTTTCTTTCCTTTCCTTCCTTCCTTCCTTTCTTTTTTTCTTTCCTTCTTTCTTTCTTTCTTTTCTTTCTTCATAGCACCACTTCTAGCCTTTTCTGTTTATGTGGAATCAAACTCAGGGCTTCATGCATGCCAGGCAAGCACTTTAACACTAAGCCACATTCCCAGCCCCATTTTCTTTTCTTTCTTTTTTTTTTTTAGGGGGTCTGGTCGTGTGGCCTGTACTCTGGGCCTGGGCACTGTCCCTCAGCTCTTCAGCTCAAGGCTAGCGCTCTACCACTTGAGCCACAGCACCACTTCCAGCTTTTTTCTTTTTGCTTATGTGGTGCTGAGGAATTGAACCCAGGGCCTCATACATGCAAAGCAAGTGCTCTACCACTGAGCCACCTTCCCAGCCCCCATTTTATTTTCTTGAAGTCACCTGGGAGCCCTATATGAGCAGGTTTATAATGGTACCAACTGATTTGGAGCTCTAAACAGCCAGCACACAAGTTAAGAGGCCTTCCTTGAGTCTGTTTTCTAGACAGAAACAGAAACATGTAAATGGATTCCAGAAGCCTGTACAATTTATATGAACATCTAGCCAAGCTCATGTTCCTTCAGTGTGTCCCTCAGTGCTGGCCTTCTATCAGGCATGTCTCTATCACTTTCTAGACAGAGACACCTAGTGGTTCAGTCACACCCCATAACCAGACCTCTTCCTCCTGAGTAGCTAGGATTGCAGTTGTGAGCCATCAGCACCTGGCTCCCTTAACCTAAAAGAAGACGTTTAAAGCTGTTACTCAAGAACATGACACTTTCAATTTTATAAGGTTTTACTACAAATGTTATTACAAATCACTATCTACAATTTAAGCCAGCTCCACTTCTGACTTTTTGCTCATTAGCCAGAAATAAAGAGTCTCATAGATTTTCTGCCCAAGCTGGCTTCAAACCAGGATCTTCAGATCTCAGCCTCCTAAGAAGCTAGGATTATGAGGCATGACCCATAGGTGCTCGGCTTTATTGGTTTATTTTTGTGGTGGTGGTGGTGGTGGTTGTTTTTGCCAGTCCTGGGGCTTGAACTCTGGGCCTGGGCACTATCCCTGAGCTTCTTTTGCTCAAGGATAGCACTCTACCAGTTGAGCCAAAGCACCTCTTCTGGCTTTTTTCTGTATATGTGGTACTGAGGAATCAAACTCAGGGCTTCATGTATGCGAGGCAAGCACTCTACCACTAAGCCACATTCCCAGCCTTTATTATATGTTTTAACTGATGAACTTTTCTGGGGAGAGGTGCTGGGAACAGAGAACCCAGAGGCTTGTGTATGCTAGACCAACACTCTAACACTGAACTATACCACAGCCCCTCCCCCTCCCTTCCATTTTTAAAGAAAAAAATATATTGAGAAAAAGAAGTAGGTTCTTCTCCAATCATGAATAACCTCACTATGTAGAGGTCTGGAAGATGGTAGGAATTCAGATTTTTTTCCTTGGGCTGGAGATTGAACCAGAGCTTTGTGCCCTTGGGCTTTTGTAATAAAGAAAATAAGGGCTAGAGGTATGGCTCAAGAGTGCCAGCCAGCAAGCCAAGCAAGCAAACTGAGAGTTGCAGGCTCTGAGTTCAAGCCCAAGTATCAAGCTTCCCCCCCCAAAAAAAGAGAATATATTGAGATAATGTTCCTTCGAGAACCTTAGGCATTAGGTTCATAGAATATTAATGTATAACTTGGTTGCTATGCAAAGCCCAATATTTTCTTTTTTCTTCTTTTTTTGGGGGATGGGGGATCAAGTCACATTATTGAGGAGTTAAAAATATACCCAGGAGAGCAAAACTCTGGTGCCCTTGACAGGGCAGGCCCTTCCCGGGCCCATAGTCTCAAAAGCTTGAGAACATGACATTTTCAATGGTACAAGATTTTATTACAAACATTATTACAAATCACTATCTCTCAGCTTTTCTCTAGATTGTACAAAGTCAATAAACCCCAGAGCAACAAGAACACCGTGCATCACAGTTCTTTGGTCCTCTTAGGATCTGTACTGTGATCATATGTAGTAAGCATTTCTGAAAAGAACAAAGGAGCCACAACCAAAACAAAAAACAAAAACAAAACTCCACCATCCAAACTAAGTGCCAGTGGTTAATATCTGTAGTCCTAGCTGAGATCAGTTCAAAGTAGTTCAAAGCCAACTAGGCAGGAAAGTCTGTGAGACCCTTACCTCCAATAAATTACCAAAGAAGCCAGAAGTGGAGCTGTGGTTCAAGTGTTAAGAGTGCTAGCCTCAAGCAAAAGAAGTTCAGGGACAGCACCCCGGCCCTGAGTTCAAATCCCAGGACTGGCAAAACCAAAACCAAAACCACCACCATCCCCTAATTCTCCACCTTTACCTATCTCCCAATTCACCAAGTGTCCTTCTGGGGCTTCCTCTCATCCTTCAGTGATCACTACTTCTTACTCCCTAAAACCAAGACACAGCTGGACACTGGAGGCTCACTTATAGCCTTTTTTTTTTTTTTAGACAGTCTCAAGAAACCTCTGCCTCCTGAGTAGCTGAGACTACAGGTGTGGTAACAGCACATGGCTCTGCCTCATGTTAATAGTTTTGCAGATTGTTTTAATAGACTTTACAGTTGAGCATCTCTAATCTGGAAATCTAAAATGTGAAATGCTGACAACCAATTTGAGCATGCTTGGGATGTGTAAATTGTCCTCATTTTGAGGGGAAAGAAAGGTCAGGCAAGACTATAAGAGAGCAAAGGGAGAGGTTAACACTGTCCAAAAAGAATGAACTCATTATCTGACTTATGAAGCTATAACCCCTCTATGTATCATCTTTATGATAACAAGAAATAAATAAACAAACATTGCTATTTACCCAAACGCTTATCATCCACAGGAGTTAATCTTACAGGGAGAGTTATTATTTTAAAACCCTTTAACTTCCTCCTTCCCTCTTGCCTGCAGCCATTGTATCTTTTCCTCTAGGTTGGGGTCTAGCTTCTGATCCATTAGCTTCTCCTCTGCAATTCTCACACCTTCCTTGAATCCCTTACCTGGTGTCCACAGAGACTCAGGGTAAAATGATGGAAGTATTTAAGCCCTTTTGAAGTGAAACTTGGCCCTCCAGCCAGAAAGGCAGTGCTTGCCAAGGCCGAAAAGTTGTAGTTGAAAATCCTGGACGGGGTGGTACGTGAGAAGGTGCAGTCATTGTAGCAAAGAGAGTGGATCTAAGGGGGGGAGAGGAAGCAGGTCAGGCCAGATAGCTGCAGGGAGCATCAAGAGGCTATAGGGGGCGTTGTTGAGGAGCTAAAGGGGATCTCCAGGGGCTGCAACAGGCAGTACACATTCCCCCTCCCCCGCCCCAGCCTAATGCAGCCCAAGGGCGCTGAAGGAGGAGAAATGATTGGAGGTAGACATTAAAAGAGATAGAAAGGGGCTGGGAAGTTGGCTCAGTGGTAGAGCGCTTGCCTTGCATGCCTGAGGCCCTGGGTTCGATTCCTCAGCACCACATAAGCAAAAAGAAAAAAGCCGGAAGTGGCGCTGTGGCTCAAGTGGTAGAGCGCTAGCCTTGAGCTGAAGAGCTGAGGGACAGCGCCCAGGCCCAGAGTTCAGGCCCCACGACCGGACCAAAAAAAAAAAAAAAAGAGATAGAAAAAGGATTTATGTGTATCTTGCCATTCAATTCTTGGCACATAGAAGATGTAAGGGAGAGTTACACCATCTGTGCATGACTGTCTGCAGTGGCTACCTTGAAGCATTCTTCTAGAACCACCAGCTTTCAGAGGTCACCACAACCTTATACAAAAAGTCTCTTTGCAAGGACATCTGACTAGTCACTGTCTGGTCAACCTTGCACTAACACTACTCTTGTTATTCATTATTTTCATCTTTAAAAATTTCCGCTTGGCCAGGCACTGGTGACAAGGATTGTCAGGTGCCAGTGGCTTATTCCTGTAATCCTAGCTACTCAGGAGCTGAGATCTAAGAATGGTGGTTCAAAGCCAGCACAGGTAGAAAAGTCCAAGAGACTCTTATTTCCAATTAACCACCAGAAAACCAGAAGTAGCACTGTGGCTCAGAGCAGTAGCCTTGAACAAAAGAGCTCAGGGACAGTACCCCAGTCCTGAGTTCAAGCTCTATAACTGACAAAAGAGAGGGGGGGAGGGAGAGGGAGAAAGGAAGGGAGGGAGGGAGGGAAGAAGGGAGGGAAGAGAAGGAAAGGAGGAGGAAGTGGTAGGACTATGAACTCTGAAATCAGTTTCTTGCTCTGCTATAGAGTTCCAATTTGGACAGCAACCATACCCCTTGCAATTCCTCCCCACAGCAGCAGAGGGAGCGCAAGGGAAGGCTGTATCATAAGTCCACACTACCAAAAGAGGTGGTTAGTGGTGGGTGAAATCATTGCCCTTATTTTGAATCCAAGCAATGCTTGCAGAGTAGTATACAAACGATGTCTTATGGACACATCTCTATGTAGTTGTGATCAGTAAGACTTTTACTCATGCATGCTTTCTTGGATGCAGAAACTATATGGGGGCAGCGGTACTGTTGTACCACATTGGAGAAGAGAGGGGGTGGAGGGAGGGAGAGGGAGAGAGTGAACTTAGGGCCTCTCTTGGTTAGATTTTAACCTCAAGGCTGGTGCTCTACCATTTGAGCCACATCCCCACTTCCATCTTTTTGATGGTTAATCAGAGATAAGAATTTCATGGGCTTTTCTACCGGGGCTGGCTTTGAACCATGATGCTCAAATCTCAGCCTCCTGAGACACTAGGATTATAGGCATGAGCCACTGGGACGTGGCTCTGAGAAGAATTTCTATGCTTATGAAGCCAAGAAGGCACTAGGTAGAGACAACCATACAAGTTAACTGTACACCCCAGCAAAGACTGGGCCGCTGCCTTCCTAAATGATAACAGGCTCGATTGGGCTAGGCTAATTCAGCCATAGACTCTTTTATTCCTTCAGGTCTCTGCATGAGTGCCAAATTATCCTGTGGACAAATTGGTTATCTCTTCCCTTGCTCTCAACTGAAGATGCCACTTTGTCCATGACTGAGGGAAATCAAGCCCTGCAGCTTAGAACCCATCAGTCATACTCCTCCAGGACTCCAGCCGGAGTGTGTACTGGGGACACAATTGGCTCTCAGCCCTTCAAGACGACCTATCTAGTCCATCTGAGAAGCCTCCAAGGCCATCCAACCAAGATTAGGATGAAAGGTAGACTGCTGGCACCTTATTGCTCTTGGTGCCTGGACCACAAGGCACACAGGCTTGGACACCATAAGGCTGGTGGGCTTTCAGGATTGTATTAGGCGGGCAGGAGTGGCAGGTTCCAGAGTCTCTATCGATGTAGTAGCCAGCAGGACAAGCAGTGCAGGAAGAGCCCAGGTCCGAGGCTTCAAGGGCGCAGGGGCGGCAGTAGGAAGCCACCCCACCCATGACATTGGTGACATTGATGGAGTAGATCTTGGCAACATCATTGGTGTACTTTCTACCCTAGAGACAAGGAAAGAGGAGGGGAGAGAGTGGAGGCTCAAGACAGCACCAAAAATGGAAATAGCAAAATACTTCATATTTTATCCTATGACACTTGAGGAAAAGTCTTGGAAGCATCCTTTTCTTTTCACTACTTAACAGTGTATCTTCATTATTTACCATCATCAAGATATGGAATCAGCCCAGATGTCCCTCAGAGGATGAATGGATCAAGACAATGTGGTATATATACACAATGGTATCCGTACACAATGGAATTCTACGGATCCATCAGAAAGAATGATATTGTACCATCCATTAGGAAAAAATTATATTAGGCAAAGTAAGCCTGACACAGAGAAACATAGGTTGCATCGTTTCCCTCATTTGTGGTAGGTGCCTATAACTCTACAAGTGAGTACACTGGACGGTAAAAAAAAAAAAAATCAAAGACAGAAATGAAAAAAAAATACTTGGACATGGTAAATTATACAGGTCTCTGGGCATTCACACAGAGACCGACCAAAGGAGGAGGTTCTTAGGAGAGAATCACAAAGGCTCAATGCACATGTGCATCTGATCACAGAAAATAATATTTATCAAAATGAACTCCAGGAAACAGAAACAAGAGGTTTTTTTTTCTTTGTTGATGTTTTTGGGGGTTTTTTTTGGTGTCTTATTTGTGTATCTGTCTTTGGGAGGGTAAACGTGGGGGGGGAGACAAAAAGGGTAGAATAAATGGTGAACAAATGCAGCCGTACTGCTCACTAGACACTATATTGAAGATGAACTATACAACCTGTGGGTGGGAACAGGAGGGAGAACAGGGCGGGAACTGGGAGAGAGTGAGGGAAGGGCTGACATTGTTCAAAATGAAATGTACGGGGGCTGGGAAGGTGGCTCAGTGGTAGAGCACTTGCCTTGCATACCTGAGGCCCTGGGTTCGATTCCTCAGCACCACATAAGCAAAAAGAAAAAAGCCGGAAGTGGCGCTGCGGCTCAAGTGGTAGAGCGCTAGTCTTGAGCTGAAGAGCTGAGGGACAGCGCCCAGGGCCCAGAGTTCAGGCCCCACAACTGGACCCCCCCCCAAAAAAATTAAATGTACTCTTTATCTGACTTATGCAACTGTAACTCCTCTGTACATCACCTTTATATAACAATTAAAAAACAGTGGTTCTTTATGTGCATTTTGGGGTCATTTTAAAATAAGGCTGTCCCATTTTGTTATGTATGAAGAGATTAAGTACCATGGAGGAAATGTACAGTAGATACTGTTAAATAAAAAAGGAGGTCTTTACCTATAGAAGAAAAAAAAGAAAGAAATCCATGTTTTGTAGCAAAATATCAGCTAAGGCCAAGCCAGATGATACACACCTGTAATCCCAGTGCTTGGAAGGCAGGAGGATTGCAGTTTAAAGCCAGCTTAGGCTACATAGTGAGACCTTATCTCAAAGAACAAAGAGGGAAGGAAGAGAATAAGACAGAGGGAGAGGAAAGAGAGGGGAAAAGAGAGGGAGAAGAAAGGGAAAGAATGAGGGAGAGGCAAAGGAGAAGGAGAAGGAAAAGGGGAGGGAAAGGGAGATGGGGGAGGGAGGAAGGGGTGAGAGAGAGATTGAGAGAGAGGAGAGACTAGACAGAAGAAAATACTCCAGATGTTAATTAACAGATCTTCCTTCTACTTATTTGTATTTTCTAAGTTTTCTGCATTAAACCCATACCACTGCGAGTTAAGAAAACTGGAGTTGTTATTCCAAATAGCAGGAGGTAAGGACTGTAAGGACAGACAGTTAATTGAAGGTACCCAGTACCATCCTCCCTGGAAGTCAGTTAGATGAGATGATCCTCAGAGGGCTGCATGAGCAAGTCTCTCCTTGATTCCTGAAGGTCTTTCTGACTCCTCACCCATGAGCTCCTGCGAGAAAGCCTCCTGGGTTTGGGCAGTGTCTTCCAGGAGCTGGAGCCTGGGAAGGGAAGGGACTCACTGTCTCATGAAGCGTGGTCCTCTGGAAGGCCCAGGTGAAGCTCATGGTGGCGTTCTCCTCAATGGTGTAGGTGTAGGACTGTTTGCCTTTGGAACCTTTCCAGGTCTCCACAGGAGTGTTAGTCCTAGAGTTCACACCCTGAAGCCAGGACAGACCAATGGGTAAGGCAGGAGGGCTGAAGGAGGAGATGAGCCCACACTGCTGCCATCCCACAGGCCTTTACATTGGGCAGATCCAAGTTCAGAACTTATGTTAGTGGGGACAGGGGCTTACACCAATACTGGTAATGATCAGAAGGCTCATGGCTTGTGGTCAGTCTGGCAGAACGTGAATGAGATTCCATCTCAACCAGTTAAAACCTGGGTATCCTGCTAGTGGTGCATGCCTGTCACCCCAGCTGTACGGGCAGCATAAATAGGAGGATGGAGATCCAGCCCAAGAAAAAGAAAAACCTTATTTAAAAAATATCAAAAGCACCCAGCACTGCCTGTAATTCCTAGATGCAGGAGGCCGACATCTGACAATCGAGGTTCAAATCCATACCACCGGGCAAATAAATCTGAGGGATTCTTATCTCCCATTAACCAGCAAAATGCTGGAAGTGGAGGTATGGCTTAAGTGGTAGAGCATCAGCCTTGACCATAAAAGAAAAATAACAACGGCTGAAGATGTAGCTCATGATAGAGCCCTAGTCTGACAAATACGAGGCTCTGAGTTCAAACCCCAGCACCATAAATAAATAAATAAATAACAAAAGCATAAAAGGGCTGGGGGCATGGCTTAAGGTTGTAGTGTATCTACCTATCAAGCTCAGGGTTGTGGGTTCAAACCTTTGTGGCATCAAAACAAAAAAAGAAAAAGAAAAAGCCCCTGTGACACCCCTTTGATTCTGGGCTTTTCCTCTGTGGATTCACTACAAGCTAGATGTGTGTTATCTTGACTGCCCACAGGGCCAGTGGGGGAGGGCGGGGGAAATATAGACCTCCTGTGAGAGCCCCACAACCAGCAAAGAAAGGAGAACATACCACCATGAAGTAGAGCTCACAGTTCACAGAACAGATGGTCTCGAAGACAAATGTGATCCTGGCCACCTCTTTATTCTCTGTGTCTGCCATCACTGACTGTGGAGGTCTGTGGGGGCAGAAAGGGAAGATTGGCTCCTGAGGTCAGACTGTGTTTATGGAGAAGCACAGACGACTTCTCAGAGGGTCAGCTGGGGACAGGAAGGAGTAAAGGCTAAATCTAGCTATGCCACCCAAGCTATGGGATCTTGACCTAGCCAGGGCGAAGCTTTCTCAGCTGTAAAGAAGGCAGAAATAAAGCAGGACGCTAGTAGCCCACATCTGTAATCCCTGCTACTCAGGGTGCTGAGATCTGAGGATCAAAGTTCAAAGCCAATCTCAGGCAGATAAATCTTAGGGACTCTTACCTCCAATTAACCAGTAAAAAAAAAAAAATGGAAGTGGAGATATGGCTCAAGTGGTAGAGTGCAAGGTTTAAGCAGAAAAAGCCAACAGAGAGTAGAAGGCCCAAGATTCAAAGCGCCAGTACTGGAGCTCCAGTACTGGAGCATGTGCGCGCACGCGCGCGCACATACACACACACACATGCACACACACACGCACACGCACACACACGCGTGCATGCTCGATTACATGCTCCCTGCCAAGATATGTGGCCTTACAATAGGCCCAAAGCAACAGAGACAACTGACCATGAACTAGAACCTCCAAAACTGAGCCAAAATAATTGTTTGCTCTTTTAAGTGGCTTATCTAAGATGCTTTGTTCCAGTAACAGAAAGCGGACTAGTATATCTGCTACCCAGATTCGCAAATTGAAAAATACTATTTTGAAATGTTACTCCATAAAGGCTTCAGTTTGCTTTTTTTAAATTTTATTTTATTTTTTCCTTCCTTGAGACAGGGCCTCACTTGGCAGCCCAGGCTTGAATCAAATTTATGATCTTCTTGCCTTAGCCTCCACAGTGCTGGGATTACAAGAATGAACTACCACACCCGGCTAAAGTGTGTTCTTACAAACACAGGATCTTCCTGGTCCACTAGAGCAAGGTATGTTAAAAAAGAGAAGGAAAACGAATTCTTGTGAACAACTACCGAGGGGCTGAGCACTGTCTCAGGGATGAAAGAGGGGCTTCCAAGAAGGAAGTAGTCCTTCCTTATCTTAAAAGCCCTCATAAGCAGAAGAGCATGCTTTGGTTTTGGAAACCTATTTATGGTTTTTCTTTGAGCTTTAGCCATGTTGCCTAGATTCTGAGATGCTCCGGTTCCCAGCTCTTCTCTCCATGATTGCATAGTCCTCGTGGCCACCTTCCAGTCCAAAGCCCCTTCCGCCATCCCACACTGCCTGGAGGGTTGTTGCTGTTTGGGGTTTTTTCTTTCTTTGTGTGTGCAGTTCCTTAGGCTTGAACTCTGGGCTTAGGCACTGCCCATGAGCTATTTTGCTCAAAGCTAGCCTCTACCACTTGAATAATACCTCCACATCTGGCTTTTTGCTGGTTAATTAGAGATAAAAGTCTCAAAGACTTTCCTGGTTTTGAACTATAATCTATAGAGCTCAGCCTCCTGAGTGGCTAAGATTGCAGATGTGAGCACAGGTACCCTGTTCTGTTGTTGTTTTAGTGACAAATAATATAATGCTTTTGTTCTGGGATATAGGAACAAATATAATAATAACAATCCTTGTCAAACTTCTGGTCTCAAATAAAGATGAATGGGATATGGGCACCTCTGGTCCTATGTTTTAAAAATCATCTCTGATGCTGTGAGGAGGAGGAATTGGAGCAGCATGTGGCCCAGCAAGGTGAGGAGTCAAAAGAGCCGTAGAAGCCGGGTGTTGGCAGTTCATACCTGTAACTCTAGCTACTACTCAGGAGACTGAGATCTGAGGATCAAGGATTAAAGCCAGCCTGGGCAGACAAATCCAAAAGACTCTTATCTCCGACTACTCTCCCTGCAAAATAGCTAGAAGCAGAGGTACAGTTCAAGTAGTAGAGTGCCAGCTTTGGGGCAAGGGAGACAAGAAAGAGTACAAGACTCTGAGTTCAAGTTCCAATACCAGCACTTGTGTGCATACACAGGCATACAAACACAACACAGAAACAGCAGTGAGTAAATCAGCCTGGAAAGTAACTAAGAAAGTGTGTTGGCATGTTGGTTAACTTGGCCAAATCACCACTGTGCTCTCATATCTTCTGATCGGATATCCAAAAAGGAATCAGGGTCCTGATGGCTCACACCCATAATCTAACTACTTAGGACAATGATATCTGAGGATCACAGTTCAAAGCCAGCCAGGGCATCTAATCTTCAGTTAAATACCAAAAGGTGTGGAAGTGTGGCTCAAGTGGTAGAGCTTCAGTCTTGAGTAAAAAAGCCAAGGGAGAGTGTTCATGTCCCTGAGTTCAAGTCCCAGTATCAATCAATCAATCAATCAAATAACATAAAGGAAAGTTCAGCTCTGAAAGGCTCCTCTCCAACATTCCTAGTATGTAGGATTTTGACATGGTTGTTGCAGTGGGCTTCTTCTTGGTTTTGTAGTCCTCACCTGAATCCTGGCACAACCAGAGTCAGAATCATAAAGTCATTGTCCGAAGCTCCAACAGCTGTATAAATGTGATCACCAGCCACCTCCCAGCCTGGAAGGGGAGAGGAAAGAGTTAACACTCTTATGTTCTTTAATGCAGGCCAAGTATGTACCAGTCTATAAGGGCAATAATGCATTGTACTTATCCTACTTACTTTGGTAAAGACCCTGAAGCTCTGAGTAAGACCTTAAGCATATTGATAGCCATTTTTCTTTCTCTGTTTCTGCCTCTGAAACTAAAGTGTGTGTGTGTGTGTGTGTGTGTGTGTGTGTGTGTGTGTGTGTGCTTTTGTGGTAATGGGGCTTGAACTCTGGGCCTGGGTGCTAACCCTGAGCTCTTCAGCTCAAGGCCAGTGCTCTACCACTTGAGCCACTTCCAGTTTTCTGGTGGTTAATTGGAGATCAGAGTCTCACGGACATTCCTGCCAGGGCTGGCTTTGAACTGTGATCCTCAGATCTCAGCTTGCTGAGTAGCTAGGATTACAGGCTTGAGCTACCAGCGTTTTTTTGTTTTTGTTTTTGTGTTGAACTCAGGGCCTAGCTGCTGTTCCTGAGTTTTATACTTAAGGCTAGCACTTTACCACTTGAGCCATAGCTCCACTTTTGGTGTTTGTTTGTTTGGTTTTGGTAGTTAATTGGAGATAAGAGTCTCATGGACTTTGCTACTCAGGCTGGCTTTGAATTGTGATCCTCAGATTTCAGCCTCCTGAGTAGCTAGGATTATAATCCTGAGCCATTGTTACCTGGGTGAAACTAAGTTTTTGCCGAATATATGCCCACAAGAAGTGGAACTTTCAGAGGGATGCATGATATAACAAGCTAGTTTTTCTCAGAACTCCCCCATTATAAACAAATGTGAACTTGGAAGAGCCTGAGGCAGTGCTGGGGGTGGCAGCTCACAGTGAGGGGAGAGGTATCACCTGTCAGGCCCTTGTACTCAAAGTTGATTCCACTGAGCACCGTTGTTTCCATGTTCGTGGGCAGTGTGTTCCACCATTTGTATTCAAATCCCACGGCAGGTTCAGTCCCAGCTGGGCAGTGGGTACAATCTGCAGAACCCCAAATCCATCATTCAGCAGGAAGCCAGTGGCCACTGTTCCTGGAGCTACAGCCCCACAGACAAGAGGCAGCCAGCCAGGGGTGGCCAAGCACTGCTGCAAAAAGGTAGGTCAACCAGACTAGAAAACTTAAGAGACAATGCACATAATTAACTCAACATGTACACACTGGCCCCTTGTTCTAGCATTCCCCTATACTCTTGCCTTACCAAAAGCTTCATTTAAAACTTCAGTGTGGGGCTGGGAAGGTGGCTCAGTGGTAGAGCACTTGCCTTGCATGCATGAGGCCCTGGGTTCGATTCCTCAGCACCACATAAGCAGAAAAAAAAGCCGGAAGTGGCATTGTGGTTCAAGTGGTAGAGCGCTAGCCTTGAGCTGAAGAGCTGAGGGACAGTGCCCAGGCCCAGAGTTCAGGCCCACGACCAGACCACCCCCCCAAAAAAAACAAAACTTCAGTGTGCTGGGGGGCCAGTGGTTCACACCTGCAATCCCAGCTACTCAGGAGGGCTGAGATCTGAGGCTCACACATCAAAGCCAGCCTGGGCAGGTAAATCAATGAGACTCTGCTTTCCCATGAACCACCAGAAAGCCTATAGCTCTATGGCTTAAGTGGTAGAGGGCCAACCTTGAAAAAAAAAAAAAAAAAGCTGAGAGACAGAGTCCAGGCCCTGACATTCTAGTACCATAATTTAAAAAAAATGTAGTTGTACCTTCTAACCTGACACATGAAGTTTACCTAATTATCACACTATCATTAAAAATATCCAAATTAATAGGTACATAAATCTCTCCACCCTACAACTCCACTCCTTTTTTTTTTTTCTTTTTGCCAGTCTTGGGCCTTGGACTCTGGGCCTGCGCACTGTCCCTGAACTTCTTTTGCTCAAAGCTAGCATTCTACCACTTGAGCCACAGCACCACTTTTGCCTTTTTCTCTGTATGTGGTACTGAGGAATCAAACCCAGAGCTTCATGCATGCAAGGTAAGCACTCTACCACTAAGCCACATTCCCAGCCCCTTTTTTGTTTTTTAATTCATTTTTTGATGCTGGTCCTGGAGCTTGAACTCAGGGCCTGGATGCTATCTCAGAGCTTTTTTAATTTTTCCTCCTTAAGACTAGCACTCTGCCACCAGAGCCACAGCACCACTTCCAGCTTTTTTGGTAGTTAATTGGCGATAAGAGTCTCATGGACTTTTTGCCCATGCTGGCTTCAATCTGCAATCCTCAGATCTCAGCCTCCTGAGTAGCTAGGATTATAGGCATAAGCTACCAGCACCCAGCTCCATTTTTGTAGATGACCAAATGGGTCATCTATGCTCCCGAGACTTCTAGTTAGCACCTGCCACACACAGGAAGCCTCTGTTAAGATGACCGGGTCCCTTCAGGCTTCAGATGGGTCTGCAGAAGCAATGAGGAGGAAGGCAGTAAGTTGTTAAGTCAGATTCTGACCTACAGGCCAGCCTTGACCTCTCTTCTCTTAAACCTGGTTCTAAGCAGTGGCCCGCCCACCTGGCCAGCAAGAGGATGGATACCATGCCAGGAATGGGCATGGGACGGTTACCAGAGCCATTGGAGTACCAGCCGTAAGGGCAGGGTTCGCAGGTGCTGTTGTTGGTTTTGAAGAAGCCTGGATTGCAGGGTGGGCAGTGGGTCTTCACCCCTGAGGCAGGCAGCTTCACCGCCCCCTCCAGATCCTCGCCACAGATCTTCGGCTTGGCCCATTTGTACATGAGCTGTGTCTGCCAAAGAAGATAAGGCACAACTCAGCCTCGGTGAGATTCAGGGCTCATTTCTGACTCGAACTTGAGGGTGAACACTCCAGGGTAGGGAGCTTTGGAACTTTTATTTCGTTTTGTGTGCTGGTACTAGGGCTTGAACTCATGGCCTGAGTAGTACTGTTCCTTAGGTTTTTCTGCTCAAGGAGAGTGCTCTACCACTTGAGCCACAGTTCCACCACCAGCTCTTTGGTGGTTCGCTGGAAATAAGAGTTTCATGGACTTTCCTGCTAGGGCTGGCTTTGAATCTCAATCCTCAGATCTCAACCTCCTGAATAGCTAGGATTACAGGTATGAGCCACGGATCCCTATCTTTTCATGGAAGCATTCAATGCAGAAGCAGGAAAGAAAGTGGGCGCTCTTCCTTCAGATCAAGTCAGATGCCCTGGTGAGTGGCACTGGGTATCAGAACAGGTGAACCTTTGTCCCTTTTATTCCAAATAAGAAGTGACAGGTCACACAGGGTGGGGGCGGGGAGGGGAGGAAGGGGAGGGAGGGGAAACTGTGTGCCTTCATTTGAGCTCCCCCTCCCTTGTTTACATGGCCTTGCCTCTCCCTCCCGGAGCCCTAGGATTTTTTAAAATTTCTTTTCTTTTTCTTTAGTCACAGGGTCTTCATTAGGTAGCCCACGCTGGTCTGGAACTTGTGTTGCTCCTGCTTCAGCCTCTTAAGTGCTGGAATCAGAGGTGAGTACTACCATACCCAGCCCCTAGACTTGTATTCTAACCTTACCCTGGCCCAAATCCTGTGAATTTCTGGCAGGAAAAATGACTTGGACCACCTCTTAGAGCAAAATGGCATAGTTAGTGGGTCCAGAAGTTAGCATCCTGGTCTCTGAAAAGCCACTGCAGCACAGCAAAGTCACAAGCACAATCATCAGCACCACAGAACCAGCAGATTTCTTCCAGGCAGAACACCTGGCTGATGCGCATCTGAGTGCGCCTCCTCGGGCACAGGCCTCCGTGGCCTCTTCTGGGCCATGGACTATAGGCCTAACCCAGCACCTCCAGGCCCCAAAGTGGTGAGGAAGGGGCAGACATGCAGACTCGACACAGCAGAATACACCACAGAACTGCAAGGCCTTGGCCTGAGCCAGGGAGAAGGAGAGAACAGGGCAGAAAGGAGGAAAGAAAAACACACTCAGCCAAATGTTAGACCTAGTAAGGAGAAAAGGAGAGGAGTTCATTGTCCCAATAAGATCAAGAAAATGAAAATAAGCTGAGCACTGTGGCTATGGCCTGTAATCCTAGCTACTCAGGAGGCTGAGATCTGAGGATCATGTTTCAAAGCAAGTCCTGGCAGGAAAGTCTTTAGAATCTATTTCCAATTAACCAGCAGAAAGCCAGGTTCCAATGATGGCTCAAGCACCACCAAAAAGCTGGAAGTGGGGAAATGGATGGCCCTACAACAAATCATATTAAGAGAGGTAAGCCAAGCTCAGAGAGACAAATGGTGCATGTTTTCTTTCATATGCAGAAGCTAGATCTAAAATGCAGTGAAACATGATAAATTATTTAGGACTCAAGGCTTTCACATACAGTGAGACCAAAGAAGGATACTCTTGGGAGAGGATCACAAAGGTGTAATGCCTACATACATTTAATCATATGGAACAATATTTATTAAAAATGATACTCCAGGAAGTGAAAACAAGAGGGATTTTTGGTTGCTGTTTTTGTTTTCCTTTCTCTTTGGGAGCCCAGAAATAGAGGGACAAAGGGTGGACAAATGCAGCAGTGGTGTACTCATGAGACACTATGTTGAAAATGAACCATACAACTTGTATGAGGGGATGGGAGGGAAAAACTGTGAGAGAGCAAGAGAACGGGTGCACTGTCCAAAAAGAAATGTACTCTTAACATCATCTTATATGGTCCTATGTACATAGCTTCGACCTTTTCTGCTTGTCTTAGACATATACTAGTTATTGCAAATAAGGGAACCCATGGGACCTATGTTTCTTTGGGCCTGGCTTACTTCACTTCTGATGGAGGCATAATTCCCGTGTGTGTGTGTGTGTGTGTGTGTGTGTGTGTGTGTGTGTGTGTGTATCACATTTTCTTGATCTATTCATCTACTGAGGGGCATCTGGGTTGGTTCCATATCTTAGCTATGGTAGATAATGCTGCGATAAACATAGTTGTATAGCCTTGTTTGTGATTGGTTGGGTAAATGCCCAAAAGTGGGATTGCTGGGTCATAGGGGAGCTCTCTGTGGAGTCTTTTGAGGACCCTCCATATTGCTTTCCAAAGTGGTTGAACAAGTTTACACTCCCACCACCAATGCAGTAGGGTTCCCTTTTGGCTACATCCCCTCCAGCATCTGTTGTTATTAGACTTCTTGATTATAGCCATTCTAACTGACCATATAAGATGATGTTAAGTGAAATGAACCCCAAGATAGGGACACAAGTGGTTCTTTCTTGCTATTGTAATTAATGTATTTATAATGTACTATGAGTTTTTTTTTGTTTCTTTGGTATGTTCTTCCCCCATGGTATAACCCCTGTTTTCACTGTATTTGATTCTGGTGCCCTGAATCTTGTATATGCTTTTTTTTTTTTTTTTGTCAGTCATGGGGCTTTAACTCTGGGCCTGAACACTATCCCTCAGCTCTTCAGCTCAAGGATAGTGCTCTACTGCTTGAGCCACTGAGCCACCTCCAATTTTCTGAGTGGTTTATTGGAGATAAGTCTCATGGAGTTTCCTGCATGGGCTGGCTTTGAACTGTAATCCTCAGATCTCAACCTCCTCAATAGCTAGGATTACAGGTGTAGGATTACAGGCATGAGCCACCGGCGCCTGGCTGTATATACATTTTTATAATTTGGAGAAGTGAAGAGAAATAACAAAATGCCTAAAGATACAGGTTGACAATGAGATATATAAGACACTATGTTTAAAATGAACTTTACAACTTTGAGGGGGGAAGGGGAGAATGGGGGAGGTGGGGAGGAAAGGGATGGTAGGGGAAAAATAATGGAAGAGGTAACAATGTTCGATAGGAAATGTACTCATTACCTTACTCATGTAACTGTAACCCCTCTGTACAGTATTTTTACAATAAAAAAAAGAAGAAAGAAAGAAAAATGAAATGTACTCATGCCAGATGCTGGTGGCTCACACGTCTACTCTAGCTACTCAGGAGGCTGAGATCTAAGGATTGAGGTTCAAAGCCAGCTGGAAGAAAAAATTCCATTACATTCGTATCTCCAATTAACCAGAAAAAAAGCTGGAAGTGGAGCTGTGGCTCAAATGGTGAAGGGCTAGCCTTGAGCAAAGCTAAAAGAGTCAGAACCCAGGCCCTGAGTTTAAGCTCCAGTACCAACACACACACACACATTATGGACCATCCAACCAAAAAGGAAAGCTCTTTTTTTTTTGTCAGTTGTGGAGCTTGAACTCTGGGCCTGGGCGCTGTCCCTCAGCTCTTCAGCCCAAGGTTAGTATCTACCACTTGAGCCACAGTGCTGTTTGGAGCATTTTCTGCTTATGTGGTGCTGAGGAATCGAACCCAGGGCCTCATGCATGCAAGGCAAGCACTCTACCACGGAGCCGCCTTCTCAGCCTAGAAAAATTCTTTTCTGAGGCAGAAGGCATGGGAGAATGAGAATCAGCAGGGGCAGGCCATTCTCCAGTGAGCCAGGAGTGTGACCCAGTTCCCCTTACCACCTGGGAGCCTAGGGAGCCTGAAGCTCAAGCTCCCAGGAGAAGGGAGCATGCCCAGACAGGCAGGTGGTGCCCAGCACATACCAAGCAAAGAAAAATGAAGTGATTTTTAAAATATAGCACATGTGGAAATTCAGACGAATGAGACAAACACAAGTTTCTGACCTTCAAGTGAATGAAACTATCTCATTTTGCCCCTGCCCTCCATCAGCCCTGGGTCACCATACAGGTCTATGAGAGCTGCTGTTGTTGTTGTTGTTGTTGTTTGCCAGTCCGGGAGCTTGAACTCAGGCCCTAGGCACTGTCCCTGGGCTCAAGGCTAGCACTCAACTACTTGAGCCACAGCCCCACTTCTGGCTTTTTCTGTGTATGTGGTACTGAGGAATTGAACCCAAAGCTTCATGCATGCAAGGCAAGCACTCTACCCCTAAGCTACCTTCCCAGCCCTGTGGGGGTTTTATCTTGGTGCCAGCTTTCTTGATGGCTGGACCTTAAACAGCCTTGGTAAAGCTCAGGGGAGCAGGAGACAGTCTACCTGGGGCAGAGGAGCTCCAAGAAGGACCACCCACCTCTCCGTTGGCATCGCAGGCTGTGTGTGTATAGAAATAATCCTTGTCTGTGCAGGCTGGACGGACTTTGCAGGAAGAGGATCCTTTTTCTAAATTGCCAAAGCAAGAAATAATATTAGATGTCACAGAAGAAAGTGAGGCTTGTGCTGGGGCTTGAACTCAGGGCCCAGCTGCTGTACCTTAGCTTTTCAGCTCAAGGCTAGTGCTCTACCACTTGAGCCACAATGCCACATCTGGCTTTTGGGTGGCTAAGAGGAGATAAAATATCTCCTAGACTTTCCTGCCCGAGCTGACTTTGAAGCCCAGTCCTCAGATCTCAGCCTCCTAAGTAGCTAGGATTACAGGTGTGAGCCTCTAGCACCCTGTGCAGCAAGTAAGGCTTTGACCGGGTGACTCCCAAGCCCTGGGAGTGCATCGACACACAGGTGTGGTGGGAAGTAAAAAACAAATTATGAGTGTCCACCCACCCATCCCCTCTGAAGGGTAGTTTCTATTTCACCCGTGATCCTGCTCAGGGCTCCCTGCCCCTCTCCCAGGTGCTGTTGGGAGGCTGCTGGTCCTACCCCATGGGGCAGCGTATACAGCGGCCCCATTGCAGTCTAGCATGGAGGATGTGAACCCGGAAAACAAAATAGCACCAGGCAGGTTAACTCCACCAAACCCAGTTTCCTGAGACCTCCTCTCATCCAGACAAATTTGCAACCCGTGAAGGTGAATTTTCTGCTCCTTACAGGTTGAAGTAAAATGTAGTAAAACAGAGGACATAGCTTTGAGATATTTTTGTTCTGTTTTGAGACAGAGTCTTGTTCTGTAGCCCAAGCTGGCCTTGAACTCATGATCCTTCTGTCTTTGCCTCCTGAGTGCTGGGATTACAGAAGTACGCCACCATGCCCAGCTGCTTTGAGACTTTTATTCTAAGCCTTTTTCTGAATGTTCTCTTATCACGTACCTTGAATGAAGGAAGCCTTCCACCTCTGAAAATTTTAATTTCCTTGCACCCCACGTAAGGTTCTTTCCTACATTCCTCAATCCCGATTTCCCAGCACTGTCTTTTTTTTTTTTTGTCTTTTCTTTTTTGGTACTGGGGATCGAACCCAGGACGTTGCGCTTGCTAGGCAAGCGCTTTGCCACTGAGCTACATCCCAGCCCTCCCAGCACTGTCTTTACCTGTGGCCTGTGCCTGCTGAGAAATTCCAATGATCATTTCTCTTTCCCTGTGTTCTCCTTACATTTATGCTAGGGCTACTCAGCGCTTCAACACTATGATGTATTCCATATGAACTACTATTTCAATGAATTCCTCCTTAAAGTAACGGATTTCACCTTTCTTTTGCTTTTAGTTTTGGTGGTTTGTTTTGTTTTGTTTTTTGGTGCGGTCATGGGTCTGAACTCAGCCTGGCGCTGTCCCTGAGCTCTTCAGCTCAAGGCTAGTGTTTTACCATTTGAGCCACAGCACCACTTCCAGTTTTTTTCTGTTTATGTGGTGCTGAGGAATCAAACCCAGGGCCTCATGCATGCAAGGCAAGCACTCTACCACTGAGCCACCTTCCCAGCCCCCTTGCTTTTAGTTTTTAAGGCAACGTCTTTAATGTAACTCAGGCTGGCCTTGAACTCTTGATCTTCTTTTTTTAGGCTCCCAAGTGCTGGGAATATATACTTGTACCATCATGTCCAGATTAGAAATCTTTTGGAAATCTGATTTTTTTTTAAAAAAAAGAGCTGTTTCTTCTTACCTAGGAATTACTCATAATTCATGCAAGTAAAAATGCAAAATTTCCATGGAAATTTGTTTTCTGCAGAATAAAAAAAATACATTGCTCTCTAGGGTACACATTATACTACTCCTACTGCTGCTACAATTAGTTCTATTATGAATACCATTTCCCCAGCAGATAAGCATTTTCTAATGATGAGAACTCTTCTTATATATTATCTGACAGGCAGTATGACATTGTGGAGTGAAATTTTTTTGCTAGGCAGATCTAGGTTTTCCTCAGCTTCTTCATTTAGTAGTTGTGCATTTGAGGCAAATGACTTAACATCCTTGAGCCTCAGATCTTTTCTCCTCTGTAGCACAGGACCAATAACATCTAACCTTAATGGAGCCAGCAGATGCTGGCGCATTGTTAATAGGTGCTCTCTAAATGATAGTAGCTACTTTGACTGCATGTTTGCAAATGGTTTTTATTTGGGAACTGTGGCCGTAGATTTAACAAAAAAAGTTCCTTTTCCTCCTCTTTCCAAATGAGGGTTATTTTCTCTCCTCACTGTCTGTCTCTCTGTCTCTCTCTCTCTCTGTCTCTCTCTCATTTTATTTGGTACCAGTAGTAGGGCTTGAACTGAGAGTGCTACCCTTTGCCTAAGGCTGGTCCTCTACCACTTGAGCCACAGGTCCACATCTGGCCTTTTGGTCTTAATTGGAGACAAATCTCATGAGGTTTCCTACCTGGGCTGGTTTTGAACCATGATCCTCATATCTCAGCCTTCCGAATAGCTAGGATAACAGGTGTGAGCTACAAGTGCTTGGTTTGAGCGGCTTCTTGCTCAATAGAACTTTCTATTTTTTTTCCAAGTGACTTCCTAGATGGGAACCTCACCTAATTCTAACCTGTTGGCCTCTACATTTCTCCATCTCTTTTGTCCCTGTCTTTTTGTCCACAAGAAAGAACTACAGGCTGACACACAGCTGGGATCTTCTCAGCTCTTTTACTAAGATAACAAGCAGAGGCTCAGTTCCACAGAGAGGAATTAAAGGACTCTTGCTGTTGATTGACGTGGCCAGAACAGATTGAGAGGAGATGTTGAAAATGTGCCAATTCCCAGACCTTGTGTATCCAGCCCAGCAGAACACAAGTCATGTGCTGGAAAATGCACAAAGACCTTCCTCTGCTTGTCAAATATTTACTCAATGTGCCACGCTAGCTCCAGGTTTTAGCAAAACTATCCAGCTGTTCACACACCTACCACTGTGAAATGTTTTAATCAATTATTAACCAAATGTTGAGACACACCTCACTTGGCTTGCTTGGGTTCACCAAGGGGTTTAAGTTGGGCACTAGTCAAGCTTGAAAGAGGGACCTAGGTAGATGGTTGGTTGGTTGACATAGTAACAAGGACCTGGGCAGAACTCCCTTATCTCCCTTCTGTCAATGTCTCCTCTATACTTCAGAGATAATAGTGTTCTCACCTGGACCCATTTTATCAAAAGAAAACATTTCCTTTGGGGACTTAAGGCTTAAGGAATACAAGACCCAGCTCTAATACTACCTTAGACTCTTGATCAATTTTTATCTGGCTGGACATTTCTTCATTCATTTATTAATGGGGAGCTTGTTCCCACATCATGCCCTGAGTAATAGTGAATGCCACGCTTATAAAATGCTATACTAGTGACTTTTTCGTATGGCTTATACCAAGGGTATTTTCACATTAAAAGAGGGGTTTTCTAGCCAAGCACCAGAGTCTCATGCCTGTAATCCTAGCTACTCAGGAGGCTGAGATCTGAGGATTGTTATAAGCTAGCCCAGGCAGTAAAGTGATACCCTATCACCAGTTAATTACCAAAAAAGCCAAGTAGAGCTGTGGCTCAAGTGGTAAGAGTGCTAGCCCTGAGCAAAAGAAGCTAAGGGACATTGCCTAGGTCCTGAGTTCAAGACCCAGAAGCAGCGCACACGCACGCACACACGGCTTAATGAGAATGAATTAATAGAATGAATAAATTGGATGAATTAGAACTAATAGAATAAATGCTTCCTGCATTCCAGATCCCTCTGTAAATTCTTCACTGTGTTACTCAGTCCTCACAATAAAACTAAAAGGTAGCAATTTTTTTTGTCATTCTCTTTTAGGCAAAGAAACTGAAGCATAATCATTTCTCGGGTTTTCATCTAAGATGATGTGTAGAAACTGGGGCATAAACAAATCATGTGCCCAATGTATCACAGAAAGTGAGTGGCAGAACAAGAACTTGGAGTTTATGCTCTTAAAACCCTGTCATACCTATTAGAAAATAGATCACCAACTAGGTACCCATACCAGTGGCTCACACCTGTAGTCCTAGCTACTCAGAAAGTAGATATCTGCCAGGCGTTGGTGTCTCCTGCCTGTAATCCTAGCTACTCAGGAAGCTAAGATCTGAGGATTGTGGTCCAAACCCAGCCTGGGCAAGAAAGTCCATGAGATTCTTATCTCCAATTAACCACCAGAAAACCGGAAGTGGCACTGTAGGCTCAAGTGGTAGAGGACAGCACCCAGGCCTAGAGTTCAAGCCCCATGACCACCACCACCACCACCAACAGCAACAACAACAACAAAAAGTAGCGATCTGAGGATCGAGATTTGAAGCCAGTCTAGGCAGACAAATTCAGTAGACTCTTACCTTGTCTCACGTTGTAGAACACCAAGCCTTGAACAAAAAAAACTAAGGGAGATTGAAAGGCCCTGAGAAGTCCCAATACTGACCCCCCCACCTCCAAAATGTGGATTACTAATACTTCACATAGCATAAGGGAGTCAATCCTAACGACCCGATCTTAGGTAGCAATGAGACAAATGCTTCCAGTCAGATTGCTGCTCTCAGCTCTCTCCTGTAAGTCTCCAGACTTCAAGGCAGGAAGTGCCAGTGTACTTTATGTTCCGCACACCAGCAATGATGCCTAAGCAATGGCCTCTGCCTCTACATGTTCTTTTCTTCCAGGTCAGGCAAGGTCAGGTTACTTTTCAGCTTAGAGGCCGGGTCTTTACTATATAACGCATGCTGGCCAAAAGCTCATGATCCTCCAACTTTAGCTTCCTTCTGAGATTATAGGTATGTGCTACTCTGCCCAACTCTACCTTAAAATTCTTTAACGGTTTCCACTGCTGATAAGATCAAATCCTATTTTTTTAAATGTGGATTCACATGTAATAATTATGCATACTATGGGGATGGAGCAGTATTTCATCACAGATTAGGTATGTATTGATCCAATCCATTAATTCGAACTTCCATCTCATTATTTCTCCTATAGTTTAGATTTTTTTTTTTTTTTGCCGGTTGTGGGGCCTGAACTCTGGGCCTGGGCGCTGTCCCTCAGCTCTTCAGCTCAAGACGAGCGCTCTACCACTTGAGCCACAGCACCAGTCTTCTGGAGATAAGTCTCATGGACTTTCCTGCCCAGGCTGGCTTTTGAACTGCGATCCTCAGATCTCAGCCTCCTGAGTAGCTAGGATTACAGGCATGAGCCACCAGTGCCAGCTTCGATATTTTATTTATATACAAGTCAAAAATCACCATCTGCCAGCACATCAGGAGGCCCAAAGTGAAAAATATCTTGTGCCTGATAAATAATTGCTTCTGGGAATATATCAGATCATAGCAGAAACTGGAGATACATGAGCTTATCAATCACGCCAGATACCACCCCCTCATCTGGAACTATAAAAGGAGCACCCCAAGATTAATATGTAACAGGCCCATACACACTTTACTTGGGAAAATCACCACTGTCCCCAGCTCTAACTGGAGCTCATAGCTGGCTTCCAACTGACACCCCAAACTTCCTGTTATCTGGTCCTGCATTTGATAACTCTGTACCCGGAACAGCTCCACACCTGGCCTGTGGATATAAAATTTACCTGGTCCCCTACAGAGAGGTTTCTTTGCATGTATTTCATCTGTCTATCTGTGCCTTAAGTATGGTCCCTTTGAACCCTGTAGCTCCTTTAACCCTTCATAGCCATTCAGTAGCTATATACATCATTTTCTTACATAAAACATAATGTGTGATCTAAGAGCTAATATTACTAATTAAGATCAGAATAAAAAAGCCAGGTGAGCTGGGTGCCAGTGGTTCGTGCCTATAATCCTAACTACTTAGGAGGGTGAGATCTGAGGTTCATGGTTTGAAGCTAGCCAGGGCAGAAAAGTCTATAAAACTCTTAGCTATCATAAATCACACATACACATATTAAAAAGAAAAAATATCTGGGTGCTGGAGGCTCTTATCTGTAATCCTACTCAGGAGTCTGAGATCTAAAGATCATGGTTTGAAGCCAATCCAAGCAGAATAGTCCGTGAAATTCTTACCTCCAACTAACTTCCACCAAGAGGTGTAAGTGCGGGTCCAGGGGTAGACAGCTAACCTTAAACAAAATGCCTACCTGACAGTTTGAGGCTGTGAGTTCAAGCCCTCGTACAGGAATACACAAAAAATAAAAATCAGAATAAACAATCAAACCCTCTGGTTGCCATGGCCTTTGTTTTCATGAAAATGAATTCAGTAGTATTTGGAGAATTAAAGCCATAAAAATTGCCAGGAGTTGGCGGCTCACACCTGTAATCCTAGCTATGCAGGAGGCTGGGGACTGAGGATTCTGGTTTGAGGTTTGAAACCAGGCTGAGCAGGACTCATGTCCAATTAGCCACCAAAAAAAAAAAAAAAATTCCCATGGGAAGTGGAGCTGTGGCTCAAGTGGGAAAGCTTCAGTCTTAGGTGGAAAAGCTAAGAGACAGCGCCCAGGCCCTGAGTTCAAGTCCCCATATTGGCATGCACATGCGTGTACAAGCATGCACGCACGTGCACACACACACACACACACACACACACCAACAAAACTGACATAGCTTGTGGATTTACTGTTATTCAATAAGTTCTGACAGAGCATCTGTCTCTAACATGAGCTTGCTGGCGACAGTTACTGCACTAAGTGTTCACAGAACCACATTTCTACTTTGCAACAGAGGCTCTTACTTGACTGCATTTCCCCCATTCTCCCTGGACACTTTTAAAGTTTTAGAAAAAAAAATGCGGCTTTATTAATGACCATGTTCTTCTTAGTAAGGTCACTTCTCAGTCAAAGGGGAAGTAAACTGGGTGGCAGAAGAGACCCCAAGAATTCACACTCTCAAATGGACCCTTTCATAGCAGCTTTGTGTATGAAAAAATCAGTTCATACAGAGTTGGTCAAAACACTCACTAGGCAGTTTTTTTTTCTTCTAGAACTAGCTTGCCATTCAAATCCTTCCACAGTGACTGAGCTAGAAGAGAAGCCAGTGTCAGACTGACAAAGACGGCCATTGATAGAAGCAGATCGAGGAAGAAAAGTAAGAAATTCAAGTGGAAAAACAGGAATTTAGACTTATAGATTAAGAAAAAAGAAAAACAGATCTAAACGTTTCCTCTTTGGGCTGTAAAATATACTTATTTGGCAAGAGGAGTGTAGATAAGGACTTTTGTTTTAGAAGTAGTATAGAAAGCACAGTTCACAAGATCAATAGTTGATCCTGGCTAAGCAAACACATCCCATAGCAGCACCTGTGAAAGTGTGTGTGTGTGTGTGTGTGTGTGTGTGTGTGTGTGTGTGTGTGTGTGTGTAGGTGGGGGTCTGCTTGAGAGCGCTCATGCTGAATTTGCGCTGTCCTGGAGACCTGGACCTCATGCCGAACGCTGGGCTGCCTGAGCACAGGCTCCTCTGTGGGCACTGTCTGTCTTACACCAGGGCCTCGAAGCTTCTGATACTTCCTCAAATGATCGAGTCTTGTTTCTCAAACTGGGATGCTTTAGGAAAGTGTAAAAATGAGCTATTTCTAGCCAACTCTTTACTTCCTCTTTGAGCAGTGGTTTCTAAACTGTGTTCCAAGGCACCTTGGATTCTCCCCAAAATGCCTGCTTTGAAGCCTAGTGAGGTAGTACACACCTGTAATACCAACATCTCAGGGGGCTGAGGCAGAAGAGCAGGGTGGTAAAGAGGTCTTACCATTATATAGCCCAGGATGGCCTCAAGGTCTTGGTCTTCCTGTCTCAGCCTACCAAGACCTGGGATTGCAGGTATGTCTTACCATGCTCAGCTGAACCTTACCTTACCTTACCTTTCCTTTCCTCTCCTCTCCTCTCCTTTCCTTTCTCTTCTCCTTTCTCCTCTCCTCTCCTTTCCCCTTCCATTCTCTCCCCTCCCCTTCTCTTCCTTTCCCTTACCTCCCCCTTCCCCACCCCTTCCTCCCTCCCTTCCCCTCTCCCTTCCTTCCTTCTCCTGAGCTTTTATGTTGTGCTCTAGCACTTCAACCACAGCTTTAATTTTTGGGTAGTTGATTGGAGATTAGCAACACAGATTTCCTGCCTGGGCTGTCTCTGAACCAAGATCCCCAGATCTCAGCCTCCTGAGTAGCTAAAATTACAGGCATGAGCTACCAGCCCCTGGATCATTTATTTCTTGTAATTATCGTTACAGTCTGCTTGCCCTGAGCTAGAATGTAAACTCCACAGAGAAAGAGACTTTTTGTCTATTTGATGCACTGATGTTTTCCAAGCACCTAGAATAGGGGCTGGGCAGACCAGGGGGCTCAATAAATATGAATTGCTTTATTGCATTTATGAATTGATGCAGATACAGGTGGCAGGGATCTTCTAGCAACAAGCAGAGTTTAAAAATAAATATCTTCAGCTTAACCACAAAGATGCCTGAACTTCCTGTTTCTCTGGTGTGTTTGTTGGTACCCATCTTACCCCTCCCAAACCTTCCTGCCCTCAGAAACATCACCTGAGTATTTGTCAGGGTCACATGGATGGCAAGAAGTTTCTCCTTTATTTGAGTAAGAGTTGGCAGGGCAAAGCTTGCAGAAAGAGGAGCCCTGCTTGGCTGCAAATGTGCCAGGTTTGCATGGAAAGCATTCTGAAGTGTAGGCCACACCTAGGAAGGAAGAACCATAGAGAAAAGTAGGGACTGAGTCCAGACACCCAGGCCCTGTGCCTGACCTCATACCCCACTGCCCTCAGGGAGGAGGCTAAGCACAGACCCCTGACCCAACACCCTCCGGGTACCTGTTATCGCAATGTTTCTCACAAGCACAGGCTTCGAAACTTTGGACCACACTGAGAAAGCTGTGGTTCTCCAAAAGAGGACATTATTGCCTCGGTTTAGTTCAACCTAGAAACGACAGAGAGGAGGTGTTGGTTCACCTCAGAAACACGCTTTCTAACCTGATGATTAGACTCTTACTGCATAGATAGAGTCTGTTCTGACCCTCTCTCTTCTCTTTCTCAGCTTTGTCTTTCTTCTCAGGGTAGCTTAGACCTTCTTTTTTCTTTTTCTTTCATTTTTTGGGGGTCTTTCATTTTTTTCTGACAGTATTGGGGGAAGTCAGGGCCCCATAGTTGCTAGATTGGGGCCTTACTGCTTAAACCATGCCTCTAATACCTTTTTTGCTTTAGTTATTTTTTCAGATGGGATCTTGTACTTTTCCCCCAAGGTTGGCTTTGGACGTCAATCCTCCTACCCATGCTTCCTGAGTAACTAGGATTATAGGCATGTGCTACCACATCCACGTCCAGCTCCTCCTCTTTCTAGGTGTCTTCTTATAACCATCTCATGCTCTTTCCCACTTACATCACATTTACCACTAGCATTCCTTAGTGTGTGTGTGTGTGTGTGTGTGTGTGTGTGTGTGTGTGTGTGTGGTACTTGAGTCTTAATCTCAAAACTTGTACTCTGTCCCTTAGCTTTTTTACTCGTTTGACTCTCCACTACTTGAGCAACACCTCCACTTCTGGCTTTTTGGCAGGTAATTGGAGAGAAGAGCCTCATGGCTTTTCTTGCCTGGGCTGACTTTGAACCATGATCCTCAGATCTTAGCCTCCTGAGTAGTTAGGGTTACAGGAGTGAGCCACCAACACTTGGCTTCCAGCATCTCTTGTGGTCAGATAATAAAGGGACTGGAAGGGACTGATAGTAGGGTGACTGGAATTCCTTCATTCTTCTCTGATTCTTCAGAAAGCCTGGCTCAAATAGGGAAAGACACTGGTCTTTGGGATGAAGCCATAGCAACAACACATCCAGCCTTCTACCAACCACAACTAAGGAACCAGTGCATCCTCAGCATCTCTGCTGCTCTCTTTACAGAAGAGCCCTTGGTCCTCTCTCTGGGGTCTCCAGGGTGAGGGCTGGTGAGATACTCACGCTGTGGAATTCCCATCCTTTCTCTGTGGTTTTCATCCACCTGGAGTCGTCTGCATTGGGCTGGCACTGGTCATTCTGGACCTGGGGCAGCAGGAGTTGGGGATGAGGCTCAGCTTCAGAGGAATTGAGGGCTCTGAACAGAAGAGCTTTGAAGTAATGTGGGACTAGCTGCACACAAGACATCTAAGCATTGACACCAAGGAAGTGTTCAACAACATAGCCATTTAGGTATCACTTGCATGGCTGAGCGGGAAGGAACACCTAAAAATATCCCAGATGCACCCTATTCTTCCCCTCCCCTCTCTTCCAGGGCCTCAGCTAGTTTTACCCACGTTTCACAAGGAAAACAACTCTGACTTGCCAAGCTAAAACTATACTTGGGACTGATTTCTGCAAATAAATCTGAACCTCACACAGGACCTTGAGCATGCGCCCTCCCTCCTTCTCCATCGGTCAGGGCCTTACAAAAAACTCGAAAATGATGCTGGAGTCTGGGTAGTAGTACTCAAAGTTAACCGTGCCAGATTGCTTCAGGTTGACGGCGTACATCAGCGTGGCTGTGCATTCGTCTGTGTTGGAGGCGATGTAGTCTCCCCTGGGAACCCACTTGGACCTATGAGGGAACAGGAGCCAAGTTCACGGGCAAGTGCAGAGCCCAGCAGGCTTTGTGCCATGTGGAGGGCTCATGTTCTGCTGGGGTTTTGTTTTGGGTGGAGGGGATTTCACACTTGGGATTTCATGGTAATGGTTGCTTCCTACTATCCAAGGCACCGAGCTACTTTTTTTTTTTTTTTTGTCAGTCGTGGAGCTTGAACTCAGGGCCTGGGTGCTGAGCTTTTTCACACAAGGCTAGCATTCTGCCACTTTGAGCCACTGCACCACTTCCAGTTTTCTGGTGGTTAATTGGAGAGAAGAGTCTCACAGACGTTCCTACCCTGGCTGGCTTCAAATCACAATTCTCAGATCTCAGCCTCCTAAGTAGCTAGGATTACGGGCATGAGCCACTAGCACCTGGCTCTGAGCTACTTTTTAGTTTATTTTTGGTGTGTGTGTGTGTGCCATTACTGGGATTTGAATTCAGGATCTGGGTACTGTCCCTGAGGTGTTTTTTTTTTAATCTTTTCATTCATCAAGACCAGCATTCTATCACTTGAGCCACAGCTCTGTTTCCAGCTTTTGGGTGGTTTAGTTGGAAAAAAGACTCTGATGGACCTTCTTGCCAGGGCTGATTTCAAACTATGATCTTCAGATCTCAGCTTCCTGAGTAGCTGGGATTAAAGGAATGAGCTACGAGTACCCGGCAGAGCTACATGTTTTATATTAATAATTTCTATCCATCAGCTAAAAAGAACTATTTTTTTTCTCATTTAAAAGATAAGGAAGTGAAGAGTCCCTCACCCAACAGCACAAATCACAAAGCAGGGATGGGATTCAATCTCAGGTCTGCCTAAATCCAAAGCCCTCAAAGTCAGGAGATAGGGATATTCCTTAGACTTCAGTGTTATTCCACTTGTTTTTCCAGAAACGTCTACATTAAGATGCTACATGCAAATAGCTTTTACAGGAAAGCAGAGACAATAAATCTCAGGTCTGTTTTGTCTGCTTGATCTCGCTCACCCTTCCCACTTTTCTTTGCTCTCCAGCACACCACCTGCCAGCTCCTCTGGACACACCCTGCATCCACCCCTGCATCCTCTACCTGCTCTCCACACTGTAGGTGGAGACTTCCAGAATGAAAATATGACAACATAACTCCCCAGTCCAACACCCCTATGCAAATTCCTGGCCTACACTTTCTACTCCAGTCCCATGAACTTTTCTCAACTCCTCTGCCAAACTTTCTCTTGCCCATACCCCCCAGGGGTGGCCCTCTTCTTGGAACATACCTCCTTTTCCCTCCTTCTATTTAATTTCTCCCTTAGTCTTACAATAAATAATACTTTGTCTACAATGTTTTCTTGACTTTATCTGCTTCTGCTATGGTTACCTGGAGCTTTCTGTTTCTCAGAGCCATAAAAGATTCTAATTTGTTTTTAATATATTATCAACATATATAGAGGTACAATGAACATATATCTTTCCACCACTCTGTTTAAGAAATATAGCACAAGCTAGGCATTGATGGCTCACATCTGTAATCCTAGCTACTTAGGAGGCTGAAATCTAAGGATCATGGTTCAAAGCTAGCCTAAGCAGAGGAGTCTATGAGACTTATTTCTAATGAACCACCAAAAAGATGGTATGGCTCAAGTGGTAGAGTGCTTATCCTTGATCAAAAACTCAGGGATAGCTTCCAGGCCCTGAGTTCAAGCCCCAGGACTGGCACAAAAATAAAAAGAAAGAGACAGAGACAGACGGAAGGAAGGAAGGAAGGAAGGAAGGAAGTCGTGTACCCCTGGCTACTCTAGTTGAACTTTCTCTATTTCCTCTTCTCCACCACTGCCAAGTGAGATCAGTTTTCTGAATCTGGTGCTTAACATTTCCATAAAGTTTTCTGTATACAATATAGCAGATAATAGTGCTTTGTATGTTTTTAAGCTTTGTGTAAATGGTACTATACTTATGCATTCTGAAAATGGTACCATACTTACATGTGCTGAAACTTACTTTTCCTGGGGGTTACTGGGTAATGGTAATATGATATATTCATATTCACATATTCACGTTCTTTTTTCTTCTCTGTGTGTGTGTGTGTGTGTGTCTCCTGTCTGTCTCTGTCTGTGTCTGTGTCTGTGTCTCTGTGTGTTTGTCTCTGTCTGGATCTTTCTCTGGTGCTGAAAATCAGACTCAGGGCCTCGTCCTTGATTCATATATGCCCTGCACTGTATTATAAACTCAGTCTTTCCTTTCACATTATTATTGTATAATATTCCTCTGTATGCCTCTACCATTTTTATTTACCATTTTTATTTGTGGCTGGAGGGCAGTTAGATTGTTTCTACCATTGTTGCTACAGTACATGTCCTGCAACAGGGGTCTGAGTGTAGTGGCTGGGAGGGGAGTGGCTCTCTGAACTACCACCCCCTTTTTCTCCGAAGTGGTTATGTCAACTTACCCCCACAAGCTCTGTCAGGGAGCTCCTGTTGCCCCACATCTTTCTCCAAATTTGGGATGCTCAGACTCTGAAATTGTTGCCAATATGATGTGGTAGGGAATTAGTGTCTGCTTGGCCCTCAAAGCTTGTTTCCTTGGTTACTTTTCTCAAGCTTAATTGCAATACTGTTGGCTCTAACTTGCTTTGCACACTAGACTATCCCCAGGACCCGTTCCTAGGCCGGGCATTCAGAGGCACGTTGGAGGATTAAGTAGGCGATGTGGGAAAAGGGTGACCTGAGACAACCCACCATCTCAGCCTGAGCTAGCTCTGGTCTCCAACTGCTTACTAATAGTTAGAGCCTCAAGTTAATCCACAGGGTCCTCCCTGAGTATGCCAAAATAACACAGCATTCCAAGCTCTTCAATCATCACTATTGTCCAGCCTGGTGGTTCACCCCTGTAATCCTAGCTACTGAAGAGGCTGAGATCTGAGGACCTTAATTCAAAGTCAGCCTGGGCAGGAAAGTCCATGAGAGCCTTATCTTTAATTTACCACCCCTGCAAAAAGAGGTGGAAGTAGAGCCATGGCTCAAGTGGTAGAGTGCCAGCCTTGAGCACAAAATCTAAGGAATAGAGTCCAGGCCCTGAGTTCATGCCCCAATACTGGCACATATACAAAAAAAAAAAGTCACTGTAACTCTCAAATCAGAAATGTTAGCTGAACTCATCCTAAATGTTCTAGCTAACCTAAAGGTGTTGTTTCTCCTTCTTCAAAGAGACATTTAATGCTAATATATTCCACAGCATCAGTTTTAAAGAACTCCTGAAGTTTGATGAATAATTAAAAGGATTCCATGAGTGGATTATATTTGCAAATGCATCACAATTTTCCTTTCTGCCAGAACTGTCCCTGGCAGAACTGTCTCACATTCAATAATAACAAGACATTGTTGATTGACTGCCAGCTTCAGACCACCATGCCAAATTATCTTTTAAATGATAACAGTATTTGCATGTAATCTATGAACATCCTCCCATGTACTTTGAAAATTTAATGGATTATTTACTTTGAGACAATGTCTTGCCACGTTTCAGGCTGGCCTCAAACTTGCAGTCCTCATGCCTCAACCTCTGAGCGGAGGCCTCTTGTGCCATTCGAGTCAACTAAATTGTTTAAATTGAGGTACTGGGTCTTGAATTCAGGTCCTCCTCAGTCTACCACTTGAGTCATGTTCCCAGCTCTTTCTTTTTTTTCCTTTTTTTAAATTTTAGTATAATTATTAGGATGTGTACAGAGGGGTTACAATTTCATAATTTGGGTAATGTATCCATTTCTCTTTTGGACATCACCCCTTCCTTTGCTTTCTTCCTCTCCAGCTCTTTTTTGCTTTAGTTATTTTTCAGTTAGGGTCTCTTATTTTGCCCAGGTAGCATTGAGTCTTCTTTTGGTCTTCTGAGTAGCTGAGATCATAATTACACACTACCATAACAAAATTTATTTTTGAGATGAGGTCTTTTAATGTTTTCCCCTGAACAGGGTACGCTAACCTACGTGGATAATTACTACGTTTCAGGATTTGGATTATGTCCTTGCATTTTGAGTTCAAACTGAGAAATCTTATTTTAATGGGCTTGCCCTTGGGTGTGACTTGCCACTTCTCCTTTGTAGCTTTCAACGTGTTTCCTTTGTTCACTATAGCCATTATTTTCCTTAATCTTGCCTGTTTCATATTCTGTAAAACTCCTCCACTGGGATAACATCCTCAAAGTTGGGGATATTTTCTGCTGCTGTCTTATTAAATAGGTTGTTCATGCCTTTAATTCATATCTCTTCTTCTGCACTCATGACTCATAGATTTGATCATTTGATGATGGTACTCCAGAGGTCCCATAAATTTCATTCATATTTTCTTAGTGTTTATCTTAATGTCTTTGACTGACTGATTTAACTCTTCTTTATCTTCTTCTCCTTCTTTTTTTTTTTTTTACCAGGCTTCAAGCTTGAACTCAGGGCCTGGGCATTTCCCTGAGCTGCTTTTGCTCACGGCTAGCACTCAACCTCTTAAGCCACATCACCACTCCTGGCTTTTTCTGGCACTGAGGAATTAAACCCAGGGCTTCATGCATACTAGGAAGTACTCTACCACTAAGCCACACTCCTAGCCCTTATCTTCTATGTTTCATATCCTATTTTCAACCAGCTCTATTAGCTAGGCTTTTGACTCTTTTAAAAAATTTGGGCTATTGAGATCTTCTAAGGTTTCAATTTTGTTTCCAGGATTTTTTAAATTTAATTTAATTTTTTATTTTTTGGTCAGTTGCAGGGCCTGAACTCTGGGCCTGGGCGCTGTCCCTCAGCTCTTCAGCTCAAGCTTAGTGTTCTACCACTTGAGCCACAGCGCCACTTTCCGGCATTTTCTGCTTATGTGGTGCTGAGGAATCGAACCCAGGGCCTCAAGCATGCAAGGTAAGCACTCTACCACTGAGCCACCTTCCCAGCCCCTGTTTCCAGGGTTTTTTACATCTTTATGAATTCCTTTCATATCTTGCTTTTTTTTTTCGGTCAGTCATGGGGCTTGAACTCTGGGCCTGGGCACTATCCCTGAGCTCTTCAGCTCAAGGCAAGCACTCTACCACTAGAGCCACAGCACCACTTCTGGTTCTCTGGTGGTTAATTGGAGATAAGAGTCTCGTAGACTTTCCTGCCTGGGCTGGCTTTGAACTGTGATCCTCAGATCTCAGCCTCCTTAGTAGCTAGGATTACAGGCACGTGCCCCCAGTGCCAGCTATATCTTGCTTTGTTTTATTTCACTCAACTGTTGGTTTGAATTCTCTTTGAGCCCAGTTAGTTGTTTGTATCCTCTGAATTGGCTCAGCTGCACATACATTACCTCCTTAATTTCATTGATTCTTTTTGTCATTATATTTTTAGTTTGATGCTTGAAATTTCTTCTTCTTCCCTAGCTCTTAAGTATTGTAGAGTTGTTGGCTATTGAGGAAGATACATTGCCCTGTTTATTTGTGTATTTAGTGAGTTGTGGGGAGAAGGAGAAGTCAAGCTCCCATGTCCTTTCAACTGATGATATCTCAGAGTTATCAAAGATCGGGTAGTGGCTGGGTTTTGGTGTGTTTTCCTGTTACTAGATTGAAGGGGAGCGGCTCAGTAGGCAAATATTTAATTCCAATGCTCAAGTCACAGTGTAGACTTCTCCTCCACTCAGGGTGAGGAAGCTTGGCTGTAAACTATTGCAAGCTGTGTGCCAGTGGCTCACACCTGTAGTTTTAGCTACTCAGGGGGCTGAGATCTGAGGATCAAAGCCAGATCAGGTAGGAAAGTCTGAGAGACTCTTATCTCTGATTAACCACCAAAAAACTGGAGATGAAGCTGTGGCTCAAGTGGTAGAGAGCTAGCCTAGAGAAAAAAAAATGCTCAGGGACATTGCCCAGGCCCTCAACCTCAAGACTAGCACATACTCACACATAAAAAGAAGCTATTGAAGTTGATTAACTACATTCTTGTGTTTGGGACAATCCTTAGTGAAGACCAGTCATCATTGCCAATACTGCTTCAGTACCTTTAGATGTACACAGAAGCAAAGATGCATCTTTGTAACCTTGTATTGAAGTCTTGATTTTCTCCTCCTCCTCTCATGTAGCAAAGGATGGGCTTAGAACTCTGTGTTCTTCTTGATTCCTGCTTGATTTCTCTGTAGTTTTCTGCCTTCCTATCACCTTTTTCAGAGTTTCTGATGCTCTCCTTTTTCTCTTCAGAAACAGTCTTTGCTGTGTTATCAAAGTCTTCTCATTCATGGAATGAAAATGGTGGATAGTTCTAATATGAAGTCTTTCTCTGCCTAGTAGAATGTTCATATCTTTCATGGCTATGCTTTTCTCTCTCTCTTATTTCATAGTCTCAGTATTTGGTCTTCTGCCCTTTCTTTTCCACAAATATCCTTTTTATTATCCCCTTCTCTAATCCAATCCCTCTTGTTTATCCCAGTCTCTGATGTCAGACTGCTTCTTACACTTCAGCCTGAGAACATCCATCACGGGAGATCCCCTGTAGCCTCAGGATCCTGAACCCTGTTCCAATTGTCTGTTTGGTTCCCAAACATTTGTTCTGGGTCTACTGTTAGATGTTAGATGCTATTAGATGCTGGAGACACAGCAAGGACCAAAACAAATCCAGTCTCTCCCGCTTAGACTTACATTCTGTTTCTAATTGAGCATATAGAAATGTAATTAATCACATAGTAGTCATTGTTATAAGTATCACAGAAAGAATCATAAGGTGAATTAAGAGAGTGTCATAGGAGTTTATGGGCTATATGAAAATATCACAAGGAGCCAGGAGCCGATGGCTCACGCTTGTAATCCTAGCTGAGATCTGAGGATGATGGTTCAAAGCCAGCCCCGGTAGGAAAGCCCCTGTGACTCTTATCTCCAATTAATCACCAGAAAATTGCAAGTGGCACTTTGGCTCAAAGTAGCAGAGCACTAGCCTTGAGCTGAAGAGCTCAGGGACAGCTCTCAGACCCAGAGTTCAAGCCCCGTAACTGACAAAAAAAAAAAAAAACCACAAGGAACCCTCCACACTGTGGAATTAATATGTAATCAGTTTTAAAAAATGCAAAGAGCTACTTGAGGTAGAAATAGGATCACATCTAGAAGCTAACCTGGCAAAAAAAAAAAAAAAAGTTAACAAGATCCTGTCTCAAAGAACAAGCCAGGGGGCTGGGAAGGTGGCTCAGTGGTAGAGTGTTTGCCTTGCGTGCCTGAGGCCCTGGGGTTCAATTCCTCAGCACCACATAAGCAAAAAGAAAAAAGCCAGAAGTGGCGCTGTGGCTCAAGTGGTAGAGCGCTAGCCTTGAGCTGAAGAGCTGAGGGACAGCGCCCAGGCCCAGAGTTCAGGTCCCACAACCAGACCCCCCCCCAAAAAAAAGAACAAGCCAGGAATGGTAGTGCATGCCTGTCATCCCAGCTACTCCGCTTCATGGAAGGCAGCGGATAATGTTCCAAGGCCAATACCTAAGCAAAAGTGCAAGGCTCTACCTAAAAAATGAATAAAGCAGAGATGGGCTGAAAATGTGGCTTAAGTGGCAGAGGGATTTCCTATCAAGTGTGAGATTCTGGATTCAATGCCCAGTACCTCCAAACAAAAAGGTAGGGGAAAAGATGAATCTATGGACTCAAGGATGGCTTCTTTGAGGAAGTGACTTTTAGGCAGAGATCTGAGACCTAAAGAAGACTCAGCACAGGATGGAAATGGGCTGTTTCTGGCAGCCAGTGGGTGTACCAGAATGAGCAAGAGGCAAGGGAAATGAGCAGAAGACAGAGGTCACATTGGCAGAGTCCCGTAAGCTGTGGATTTTACCCCAAGAGCAATGGGTGTCCTCAGTTTTGAGCAGAAACATATGGTGTTTTGATTTGTATTCTCCGATCATTTTAGCTATTGTGTTAACATGGAGAAGTCAGAAACAGGAGACAAACAGAGATCTTGAGGCAGAGCAGACCGGAAGACACACTAGCTTGCTTCAGCCAGGGGCAGTGGAGTTGGATTCAAGTTGAACAGAAACGCTAAATACTTGGGATCTTGGTGCCAGCTCAAGTACTGACTTTCAAAACATACCCTGGTGGCCATTTTTCCTCCTCCATTTCTAGAGAAAAGAAACATTCTCTGCTTCCCTCTTAGGATGCTGTGGGAAGCCTTAAGACCCAGGCTGGAGCCTGTCTGTGCCATGGAAACACAAGTTTGTTATTAAATAGCCCACATCCTGCCTGTCTGACAGATAATGACTTCTGCCCTCTCAGCACAGTCCTTGGAGAGAGGTGAAACCTTTCCTCTGCATGAAGGAATTGATTAAGCTAGGTCTGCACTTGGACCAAGATCAAATGGTATTCACTATTAGGACTCAAGTGGGGTTGACTATCTTAATACACACATATGCTCTCCTATTGGCTAGCATCTTCTAGTTCTGTCTCTGTCCCTGTCCCCCAAACATTATCATACAATGATTATGCCACATACAATTGAACTCTAAAATACCTTTAAATTTGGACAACTGAATGGCTCAAGCATTGGTACTTCTGGAAGATGAAGGGGGAGGGAATCTTTGCTTTGTTTGAGATAGGATCGCACTGTGTAAGTCCAGGCTGGCCTCAAATTCACAGTCCTCCTGCCTCAAGCCCTTCCAGTGCTAAGACTACATACAGTTTTGCATCACTTTACTTGACTTTCCAGTCCTTCTTATATTTGCTTGTTTGCGTATAAGAGAAAGGTTCACTCCCCTCCCCCAGATCTCATTGACTATATTTAACCAAAAGCTGCTTTTGCCTCTTCGCATCCTTCTGCTTTTAGTAGCTAGAAACAACATTACCTGGCTCATAAATAAATGTTACTTGAGAACTGGGCTCCGGTGGCCTGTAATCCCAGCTATTCAAGTGGCTGAGATCTGAGGATTATGGTTTGAAGCCAGCCTGGGCAGGAAAGCCTATGACTCTTAGCTTCAATTAACCACCTTGCTGTGGCCCAAGTTGTAGAGAACTAGCCTTGAGCCAAAAAGGTAAGGAACTACACTCAGGCTCTGAGTTCAAGCCTCAGGACCTTCATAGATAGATAGATAGATAGATAGATAGATAGATAGATAGATAGATAGATAGATAGATAGATAGATAGATAGATAGATAGATAGATAGATAGATAGAT